CTTTTTCAAAACCCCAAGGGCTGATCCTCCGCCCAGATGTGCAACAAAACTTTTGTGATATTGGACATGGCTAAAATCGGCTGTACTCGCAAGAATTCAATGCGTCAAGGTCAAGTCAGCGGTGACGCTAGCGACCCGCTTCGCTCTTGCAATCGATAAGAACTTTAGCGCCATTCATCATATGGCAATCACAAGTCCGTACAGTGTAAATGCAACCACAAATCCATTCAGCTCTTCTCTCACACCATAATAACCCCAAATACTTACATCGACAATCGACATGAGTATAAACTCGGAATATTTCCTTTTACTTAACCAAATCTTCTTTATACAACCAATTTAATAGGTGCAACAATTAGTTCAGGTACTAGGCACAACAATCACTGCGACAACGAGAAAACCAGAAACAGAGAGAGGAAGTCGTATTGCAGTCTCTGACAACTGGACTTGGAATAAGTATTTCTCGGACAAGATTTGCATGGGAAGGAGTTGGGACGCTTGTTTTATGTGTTATGAAATATGACCTCTCATCCAACCAAGTTTCGATTTAAGTCCAAGAGGAAGTGTGGGGAGGATGAAAATGAACGACCATCAGGAAACCATACGGAGGAAAGACATCGCCGTCATCATCATCGCTCCAAACGAAGCAGGACATCGCCTTCTGCGACCAAAGATGATCCATCCCTCTACGATGATACCCACCTTCCTAATACTTCCTCCAGCCAATACCTCGACCCAGATGCTGCATTCAGAGAGAGTTTATTTGATGCGATGGCCGACGATGAAGCTGCACAATATTGGGAAGGAGTTTATGGGCAGCCAATTCACACATATCCTGACGTCAGGCAAGGACCGACAGGCGAACTAGAACAAATGACTGACGAGGAATATGCAGCATATGTTAGGGGTAAAATGTATGAAAAAACCCACCAACATCTGATGGAGGAAAAGGCTCGGCGCGAGGCAGCTAAAAAGGAACGAGAACGTCTGGCTCAGGAAGGTAGGAGAGAGGAGAGAGAGGCCGAGCGATTTAGGAGACAGGTTGAGGAGAGCCTAAAAAGGGGTCAAGAGAGGAGGTCAAAGAAAGTTTGGACGGCGAAATGGAATAACTACATTAAGAATTGGGAAGAGCTTGAGAAGAATTCTTCGAAAGTTGCAATTGCGTCTATACCTTGGCCAGTGGAAAGTGGCAGTCGAAAAGATGTCAAATCAGAGGAAATCCGACGATTTTTCTTATATGCACCCACCTCTGGAGAACCTACAGAGTCACAACTCAGCAAGACCTTGAAGGTGGAAAGAGTTCGGTGGCATCCTGACAAGATCCAACAGAAACTAGGAGGGCAGGATGTTGACGAAGGGGTAATGCAAGCTGTAACAGCTGTTTTCCAAATTGTCGACGGGATGTGGTCAGAGAGCAGGAGTACAAAATGAGTGGACAATAAGGAGTGAAGAAATATTAATAGAGCCTCGGATTATCAAAGCATAGCATGGAGTTTTGGAAGAACATGAGGGGTAATGGAAAAGGAATCAAGGAATACCACATTACATCGCATAGGTTTTGGAGCTAGCAATATCTTTACGGGGAACTGGTAATTAATGAATGGCATAGATACTGATTTCTTGCAATGAGTATTAATTACATTACTGGAGAAGGAATTGGATGCAATGAGATACGACTCGCGATTGATAGCTGCATATGAAATTCATTGTAAGACCTGTCAAAGTTTCGTAGTGCAGTGACCAGCCGATTTGGGTATAAGGCTAACCTGTGCGTATTCGTACCAAACACAAGATTGATCCAAAATCTTTTGCACAATTCCTTTGTAAGAAATTTAAAGTTTCTTTCGTTCTTGATTATTTGAGATCTGAAAGGATCCAATTATCGACCTTTCTTCCTTTTCATTGGTAGCATATGAGACTAATAGGTTCCATTCTTTCATGCAACAACGGAATATCTCCCCCCAGGCGATATTCACTGGCATTATCAGAAGTTTAGCTGTCAATGATGCATTCAGTCAAGTAGTAATAATATTCAGTAGGTAGTTTCGACCGGAAAAAGTATGCATAGTGCCACCTGATGCTCCCTCCATTTGGCATATGCAATTCTATAAATATTATATAGATATATTTACATATGAGCCGTCATTTTTCTTCGTGTTAAATGGATTGAGAAACGAGCAAGCATATGCATTTACAAGTAGATCTGGGAAAGAGAGGAAAGAAAAGAGATAAAGCGCCGTCAAACAAGCCATCAACGCTAAGCCCCTCCTTCTTGTTATTATTTGATATCAGCGGAATAGCATTACGTGCTCTGAACCCTTACCTTGCCCTAGGTAGTTAAACCTTTCGTTGATCTTCAAGCGGTGGCCAGCAAATCATTGATGAAGCTTTCAACCCCACCAAGACTAGGTGATCGGATTCAAATCCATAACTGTACTCTGTACTCTGTAAACCTGATGGTGGACGGCGGAAGGATACAGAGGGACTGCCATAACGTCAAGTAGGCCATAAAGAGTGACACCTACAGAATACCCTGGGCCTAGGGAGTCACTAAAACAACACTGTCAACTGAAGTCCAATCAAGCTGGCCATTCTAAAGCAACTTTCGGAATATCATTCCTTTTCTCCCCCCTCACCCTCCTCACATTATCATTCGTCACACCTATTTTTTATCTTTTCATTCTATCACTTTAACAACGACCTAATTCTTGCATATCTTGCATACAATAACATACAACAATACACCTACAATATACACCTACAATATACACCTACAATATACACCTACAATAAACACCTACACCTCCACCTACACCTACACCTCCACACACCTACACCTACACTTATACACAACTACCCCATACAGCCACCACCCAATCCACCAACCTCCTCGATATCCTACCCCAATCTTCAATTTCCGATTTTTCATCAATTCTTATTAATTCATGTATCATTAACCTCAATAACCTCAATAAACTCAATATCCTCAATTGACAATTCGGTATAATTACTGCTCCAATATCGATACCTTCCAACCATTAATTCACTCTAATATTGAATCATCCAAACCAATTCCCGTTCCCGTTGTCTTTGTCGCAACGGACAGAGTGCATCATTAATCGTACCTGCAACTATCCGCATCCTACGAACCTTATTCTCAACCCGCAACTTGCAAATTCTTCCTTTGCCCATGAAATCAAAGTCCAAGAGAACCGAGAAAGACTTCTAAATCGTTCAATCTATAACATACCTACCTGCCTACCTTCCTACCTTCTCTTCCGGGTAAATCCAACAAGACGCAATCTATCTTGTTTTCCCCAATTAGGCTTGTCTATCAGGACGACTGGGGTAGCTTCACCTACCCAACTACCTTTCATTATCGTCCCTCCTGCATTCGGCCTACACACCCGGCTCTACCTTGCTGACTGTCGATCCATCACACTCGACAAGCAGCAATCTACCGTTTCATTCTATGCCGACACTCGGATTTTTGAAGAAGAAACGGACGAAGGAGTCTCCGGGTATAACCTCTCCGACATCTAGTCAAGCCACAAGTCCGATAACCCCCACATCATCAAGAGGCTTCGATAACTCCATAGCTTCCATATCTACCCAGTCTACTTTACCCCAATCCCACGAGCACGAGGTTCTTCAAACTACAACCTCTCGCACAGCAGACCAGCCTGCTGCTGTGGCCAAAAAAGCCTCAATGACACAAGGGATAACTCAACAGCAGCAATCTGCGCAAATTCATTCCGACCAACATCAGCATAGGCAAAACTCCCCAAGTATCAGCAACTTGATTCATCCACCACAGCATGACGGCGCGAGCCAGTCATATCCAACCCCACCAACCTCCTCGCAAACTTCGCTGCATCCTGTAGCTGGTAACACCAGCACACTCCAAATGGATGCCTCGCACCGACATTCCCAGCAAGCACAGCAGCAGCCACAGATCAGACAAACCAAGGGCAAATATTCATTGACCGACTTCGAAATCCAGCGCACATTAGGTACTGGAAGTTTTGGGCGAGTTCATTTAGTTCGATCGAAGCACAACCAACGATACTATGCTGTCAAGGTATTGAAGAAGGCTCAGGTGCACAAGATGAAGCAGGTCGAACATACCAATGATGAGAGGAGAATGTTGCAAGAAGTCAAACACCCATTCCTCATCACTCTATGGGGTACATTCCAAGATTCAAAGAATTTATACATGGTTATGGATTTTGTAGAGGGAGGTGAGCTATTCTCTTTACTGAGAAAATCACAAGTATGTTCAATGGTACCAATTACTCGATATATACTAATGGTTCGTTTCAGAGATTCCCTAACCCAGTAGCCAAATTTTATGCCGCTGAAGTTACATTGGCCCTTGAATATCTCCATTCAAAACAAATCATCTATCGGGATCTAAAGCCAGAGAATTTACTTCTTGACAGGCATGGACATCTTAAGATTACTGATTTTGGATTCGCCAAGAAGGTCCCAGATATCACATGGACATTGTGCGGGACCCCGGATTACTTAGCACCAGAAGTAGTCTCAAGTAAAGGTTATAATAAGTCTGTAGATTGGTAAGTATTGGTACCTTCATTCCCCTGCCATCACTGCCCCTCCAAAGCGAAGCGAAAATGCTTTCGCGATAGTGACCCAGCGGAGCTTCGTCAATTAAACCTTCCTCTCTTCATACTTTCTCTTATGGGGGCTTGCCCCCATACCCGTCCTCGCTACGCTCGAATGGAAACTTAGAGGTTGTTTACTAACATTTCGAATCAGGTGGTCGCTTGGGATACTGATTTTCGAAATGCTTTGTGGTTTCACGCCATTTTGGGATGGTGGCTCACCTATGAAGATTTATGAGAATATCCTTAAAGGGAGGGTCAAATATCCTCCATATATTCACCCAGATGCACAAGATTTATTACAACGATTGATCACAGCAGATCTTACCAAACGTCTTGGCAACTTACATGGAGGCTCTGAGGACGTCAAAAATCATCAATGGTTTGCCGAAGTAACTTGGGAAAGGTTATCCAAGAAAGATATTGATGCGCCTTATGTCCCTCCTGTCAAGGCCGGAGTCGGTGATGCTAGTCAGTTTGATAAATATCCCGAGGAAACGGAGATATATGGTCAAGGTGGGCCTGATGAGTAAGTAGATTTCTTGAACTTCATCAAATCTAGGCTAATATTATTAGATTTGGGCACCTATTTGTCGATTTTTAAACAAAAGTTCATTCTCGGAGTCTCGGAGCTAGGCCGCATTACTTTTAAGAAGGCCACTTTTCTTTTGTATTTTGCAGTTAAAACTATTCTTCTGCACATATATTACAGTACGGACAAGAAAGCCTTCCGTCGCATCATCTCTTTGATTCACAAGCATTGGACTGGAATATTAGGTGGTTTGCTTTGGCTTATAGCTCTTTGATGAATGGTGGCGGACGGTGTGAGTATGGTTGGTATCATGGGATGTGGGATTCTAGTCCCACTCATTTTTCGGAACCGGGAACGTGATGATGTGGTCCCCCTTTGACGCATGGGAATGAATTTCTCCATATCAGTATGGATTGTGATGAAATGATGTTGACGCCCCATCGTACGGAATGGAATGTGGATGATGTGGTATGGATGAATGGGACTCGATATTAGTTATGTGCCCAAGAGGAACTGAAGGTTAATGAATCAAATGAAAAGAAAGGAAAGGAAGAATTATAAATCCGATTCTTGATAGTGAATAGGATATTATTCTCTCCTTGACATTTTGTGTATGATTTTGATGTGAAGGGAGTGGTGAATAAATGTGATCAAGCGAGGTGAAATGGATAATGGAGCCGTTCAATATTCGATCGAGGTTGAATGGGATAATAGGGTTTGAATAATAGAGATTGGATGGGACATAGGCATAACGGGCTTCACCAAGCGTTGTTCAAGATTAAATGGAGTGGAATAATATGGTATAAATGTTTGAGATGGAGCGGGATGGTAGGGGTTGGAATATTTGAGTTTGGATGGGAGGGATAGCGAGAGGGGGATGATGTTTTAATGTTTGAGGATGAGGTTGAGTGAGATAATAGGGGGTTGAAAATTCAAGATATTATTGGATAATAAAGAAGAGGAAGAGGAGGAGAGTACTTGGCTCTGGATTTATTGATCCCTTGGATTCATTTCTTGGGTGTTCGGTTTAGATGCAGATGCAGATATGTAGATGTGGAATGATTTTTGTTACTTGGTTGGTTTGTGAAGATAGATGGGGAAGGGGTTGGGGGGGGAGAGGAGAGCGAAGATCGAAGCTGGAGAACGGGTGGAAAGGGAAGAGGTGTGAAAAGGGTGGGGGATGAGTGGGAAGTTATGATTGAGAACTGAATACTGTCGATATGGATGCTTAATAGTTTGAATGTCTACTAGGTAGATAGGTGAGAGATAGAGAATTAGCGAGACAAAGATGTAGATATATGGGATAAGTGGGGTGGATATAAAGGGAACTATACTTGGGAGAGAAAGAGAGGAGGAAGGTGGGGGGGAGAATACAGGGAGAGATCTTTAATTGCTAATTTGTTGTATTCTGCGGTTGGTAGATTGGTAGGATTGGGTATGTGCGGGTTTTAATGTGAATGTGAATGTGAATGTGAATTGAGAAGTAGTGGGTTTGTCTGAGGGCCGGATTGGGTACTGGAATGGAATGAAATGGATGGAGGTGTATGTTCATGCTATGGTTTGGAATAAGAATTCAAAGAAGCCTGGCGGAGGGGTAGGCGGTTAGATGGCTAGGCTTTTATGAGCAGGATAGTTAGGAATGTTATAATAGACGGTTAGGGGATGAAAATAATAGTGGTAAGGGAACCCGGTTTGGAGGCAGAAGTAAATGGGATGGATGTTAGGTTCATGATCAAGAGGGAGAATGTATAAATACTTAGTTCTCATCTTAGCATTGAAAAGGGATTCATTAACTTGCAATTTGTAAGATCTTACTACAACGATTCGGGGGATTGATTGTATATGCTCGTGAGTAGTTTTCTCCTGTTCGGCTCGAAGTGTTTAAAGAGGTTGATCTTTAGGGAAAATTAAAAGGTGGATTAGTAGATATAGGGATAGGATCAACAGATCTATTTACATTTAGATGGAGAAGTTATTATTGGGTGGTGTGGCAAGCGAGAGGAGTAGGTTGATATTTGACGTAGACTAATGTTAATGAATGCTAAATAGTAGGATTACAGGAATGAAGGGATATATTGGCTACCTATTATCGTATATACAAATATACGCAATCTACACCATTTTGTCCGTAAATTCGATTTCGCTTATATAGTGATGAAGCTGAGTAAAATTTCATAGTTTAAAGAAAAGGTTGGACTACTTTTCTGTTTAATTTAATGGGAATTTACACATGAGGAAGATAAGCGAGGTATTTAATATCTCAAATTTTATTACTAAGAAAGAACTGATGTATAACATGAAGATCGATCAAGTCGTTACTTTCACTGATGAAAAGATAGAGGAAGGATCCTGGATATATCCAGTAGCTACTATACAAGAATTCGAATAGGCTGATGTTGATTTATATCTAACCACCAACCTATAAAAAACACTTTCAACTATCCTCGCCTCATCACAGATTCTTTCTTCAGTCTCTACATCCTCTTTATCTCCATCTCCATAAGCCTCTAAACTCTACAAGCTAACTAATCACTAACTTTGCTCCAACAGACTACAATATAGATATGATAATAAAGAGCAATCATCTATAACTTTAGTAATCCTTACTTTACCTTACATCAACCTACCACATCTCCGTTGGAATATAACAATCCACAATCTATCTATTCTTGAAAACTATTTTACAATAGCCTAACTTGAACCATTTGCGACTAATTAGTCAACGAATGGATAATTCCGTCTTTCCCAAGGCTCAAGATTCAAGAAAAAAGTACTATATCCTGTCGATTTTCATTTACCCTTTCCTCTCCTCTACTGTCCTTCAATAAATTCTTATCTATTCTCATTCTCCTGATGGAAAGACGAGAAAGATCATCTGATTCGTTTCTGAAAAGAAGGAAGTGCAATAATATCACAATAAATTTGATAATATAGCATGGAATGCCGTACCCTCTCCTTTCTCTTCCACTGCTCTTCTCAACGAGTTATGTATCCTCCTATCTCCTAACAGATTCTCATTTATCCTATCTCTCGTTTAGGGCAATGAACTCTCTCTTCTTCAGCCCAGGAAAGAACAGGAGGAGTTTAAAAAAAAATGCTCCAAGACGTACTAGCTAGCCACAACAAGGTATCTCATAAACTCCCAAATTGATCACAATCTGCTGTCCAGTTTTCAAAAGTCACTACCTTCTCCAGTGTCCGTATAGCTTATGCAATGGTATTACAGAGCATTAAATCTAATACCCCTAACCCAGACCACCCTCTTACACCAAAAACCTTCACTTTCACCTATCAATAACTTTTTTATTTATAAATATAATTCCCCCAAATTTTAATTACTAATATAATACTCAAATAATAATAAGTTTTGAAAAGTTCAGATTTTTTATAATTTTATTAATTGAAATATTAATAATTGAATTTCAAATTTTTATTTTATAATTATAGGATTTATATATAAATTTCAAAAACCTTGAAAATATTAAATAATTTTTAATATTTCAATTAGTAAAATGATAAAATACTTGATATTATATTTTAAAAATCGATTTGTATTTTGATAGTAATATTATTAATAAAATCTCAGTTGATTTATTTATTTATTTATTATAAAATTACTAATAAAACAAAATTGTTATTTCTGATATAAAAAAACAATCCAAAATAAAAGTAAAATATTAGATTTAACTCAAATTTAAGATAATTTAAAACAAATAGTATTAAAGTTATATATATATCTCTATTTCTCTCGATTTTAGTTACACATCATATAATACAACAAGAATACTTTGAATATCTTGTAATATATTTCATAACATTCTTTATATTCTTGTAAGAAACTCACAATACTTGACCTTCATTACATTAAATATATTCACCACAACATAATACATTACAGCTAAACCTATCGATCATCAACCATCAGTACGATTAATTCCGTTTAAAAATACTCGCTCAGTAATAGCATTCACAAATGAATTCTTAAGTATCAAACATCACAAAGCAAGAAAGACAACATATATATTCATGTAATGGTATTAATTATCCATGCAATGCAATACAATGCATGCAGCTAAGTACAACGCGCCCATTTGCAACCCAATCAATCCCATTTATTCCTAAGCATCATTACCATCATCTGTTCAACTTTCCAATTCATCATCTTAGCAGCAGTAGTATTTGTATTCCTTCCCACCCTGAATGATGAAACCCCCATTTCAATAAACCACTTGTGACTAACTGTTCTTGTATGATTAAAAAGAAAGGAAACCTTCCAACCAATCATCCAACATTTACAAAGCAGCAGCAAAGATAGCGGCACCACCAAAGAGAGCAGCAGCTCCCACAGCACCAGTTTGAATAGCAGCACCACCAGTAGAAGTAGAAGCAGAGCTAGCCGAAGAAGACACCGAGGCAGACTTAGAAGAAGCGCTCGAAGCAGCAGAGCCTGAAGCGGAAGCAATAGATGAGGAAGCGGAAGAAGCAGATGAACCGGTGAGAGTAGCAGCTGAAGATGCGCGGGATGAGAGGGATGATTCAACAGATGATTGGGCGGAGCTGATGGATGATTCGGCCGAGGAGACGGAGGATGAGAGACTTTCGGCTGCGGTGGAGGCAGTAGAGGTGACGGAGTTGACGACACTGCTTGCGTCGGATGTGGCGGCCGAGAGGATCGAGCTGACGGAGGCTCCTTGACCCTAGAGTTTGATGTTAGTATTTGTATTGATGAAGTGGATTATATTCCTAGGAGAAGGAAACATACCATAACAGCACCGGCGAAAGCCAAAACGAGAATGTTTTTGAATTGCATATTTGCGGTTGAAGAGAGGTGAGATGAGTTGATGATTTAAAAAAGTTAAAAAAGTAAAGTAATGGTATTGAAGTTGATGAAGACTTTTGTTCTGGGTATCAAATGTAGAAGTTAAAGTAATGTGAGATGATGTGATGTAAAAGGAAGAAGAAAAGCATTCGGCAAACCGAGAAGACAATTCTTATATAGATATATACAGCAGACAGCCATCACATCCAGGACAACAAACAAACAACCTTTTCCTTCCATGTAATCAATCCATGTACGACCAATTAGGTAGGTATGATGTACTACTGGGCTACTAGCGCGCATCAACTTCCAAGTTAAGCGGCTTATTATTCCGACCCACCCAGTTTTTAGGATCCATCTTTCCTTTCCTTGCTTTGATTGATTGGTTTATTCCATGGCAATGGCATACATATTATGAGATTTTTTACATAGGGTATAGAGTAAGAACGCAGTATTACGGTATTTCGGAACTCAAACGTCATATTACTCATATCTGGGCCGTGGCGCTGGTATCCCTGTATGCTTGAATCCTGGTATGAGAGCTAACAAGTCCTAGTTTTCTCCAAGTTTTCGGTGGCTTGAAACTGATCAGGTACGATTTTGATCGAATGACAGCGGGTTGAGATTGGGGAAGGCTGGTATTTGTTCTGACTTCCTTCTAGGTTGTGTTTGGCATCTGGGGTAGTATTATTTGGGTATGATTTGACAGACTAGCTATTAGGTTCCCGTTTGTTATTTTACTCTTATTCGTTTACGAGGAGCGTGTAAGCATACTATGGGAGAAGTAACTACGCGTCCTCCAAGATTTAGCATTTAGTGAATTTAGAAAACCATTGTGGTTATGCGGTACCCTACTTAAAATCATAGGGAAGGTGCAGCGCAGCAATATGTAGTGAGTAAAAATGATAGTATAATAACCAGGTAATTAACATCAACAATTGGAAGAATAGCTAAAAAAAAAAGCCTCCAACCAACTTTCCTTCCTGCAGTAACAACTTTGAAATTTAAAACACCATCCTCCGTATGCACTTGTACGAAGGATGACATTCACAAGCAATGACAACATTACCCGTTTCCGATAGACAATCCAAAAAAAAATTAATAAAAAAAAGTAAAAATCACCGAGCCAACACGCCTTGATGCAATTCTGACATTATAACATATTATTATATCATAGCTAGGTCAAAAGACGAAATAAGATGACATAGCACCCACCCATCATTCATCATATCACATCGCATTCCGAAAATCTCAAAACCCCATGTCCACGAGAATCGGGAAAATTAAATTTGCCATAGGATTTATCGATTTCACCTTTCAGCCGAATCCTGGTACATAATATATATATTTAAAATGGGTAGAGTGGTGCTAGACTAGACGCCGGGGCCCGAAACATTCTAGGCCGTGGCTTCTGTGGAAAGTTGAAACGATGGATGGATGGATGTACGCAGTATGTATGTATGTGCGAGGTAGGATGGATGGATGGTAAAAAACCGGTAATGCATTTTGGTTAATTGGGTGATTGAGCATAAAGTTGTTTTGCATAAAGATATACGATGCAGAGAAGATAGGTAGGTATATATATATATATTGGATAGATATTTTTATGAATATCCCCCATTCCCCAAATGTACAACAGCGAGGAGAGAAAGAATGATTATCATACCTAGAACTGGGAATATAACTGAACCATCTTATACAAAATATAATATATATACCCTTCACAAGAGAACAACACAACAAGAAAGTAAAGTGACAGATAGTACAGTAGCCCTCCGTACATGAGCAAATAACATCCATCCTCATCATATTTATGTAATGAAAAATCCCCAATGCACATCCATTCTTGGCATGTGCTATTTTATCAAATCAGCTTATCCTATCATGCCGATTCCGAGTTTAGGGTAAGCGATGTTGTTGTATAGGTATGATACGATACGATGCAATTGTAATTGAAATTTGAATTAATCGGAGAAAGAAAATACTTATTTCATTCTGTTCTGATAGGTGAGTGTCCTATCAATTTGAGAAGGAAGAACCCATCACCATTATAACAATCTCCAACAACAACAACAACAACAACAAGTCAATAATCAACAAAACAAACCGAACCGAAAAGAAATGAAGTTAGGTATAATAAAGTCACCAACCAACCAATCACTCAAACCACGAGCCATCATCGATCCATCCCCGCACTCAACACTCCCTAGCTCACTTTTTCTTCCCGCCCTACACGGTGCACACCCACTCCATCCCACACATCCCACACATACTATTCGCCCACCCACCTCAAACTCCCCAGCTCCAACCGCACAAGATCCACACGTTATAGCGTCATCGAATCTTGGTATCCGTACTACGTACTCCGTACCTTTTTATAAATTGCGATTTGTATACGCCACACCCAACCACATACACCTACCTTGTAAAATATATAAAATAGTGATATAATTAATAAATATATTCAGGATTCAAAAGAAAGAAATTTAAAAAAAAATTCATTTAATATTTATCTATTATTAATAAGTATTGTATATATATTTATTTAAAAATTATATTCTTTTATATTTTTAATTTTTTTTAATTAAATATATACACACAAAATATAATAAAATAAAAATTTATTAATCACCATCTACATTTTCTTCTACCCAAGGCTAAAGAAACAAAATTGTTAATGTAATGACCTAATAAATATATATATATATATACATAGTCTGTTATCAGATAAAAATCAAAGTGGCCAGTGCTCGCAAGATATTATTCTCAATCTCAGGTACAGTCCGGACACAGACAGTACCGATAAACAACGCAAACAAAACCAAGGGAAGCAGGAGCAGGATAGAAAAACTTGGATGGAGATGTTCACCGCCACTCCGCTCGCTGTGGGGCTGGCTCTCTTTTACAGCTAGGTAGATGGCTAGCCCTTCAGGTTTATTTCAAACGAAGATCGAGAACTTCTGCTAGAATCTGCAAGATTATATTATATTATCAACGAAATAGTCTGCCTCCACGGCAGTGGCCCCCGGAGGGCCAGCGGAGCGTCACATTTATATCTAATTTAATCAAATCATTCAAATCATCTACATCCTGTCTAGAGAATCTCTCAAGATAAATAATCTTCATTTAATTATTTGTTTGATATGGGGCAATTCCCTTCTTAATCTCATACACAATCTCGGCTGCTTCATCTGCACTCTTGGCCTCAAAATCATATCGTTTCTCCTCTCGTGATTTGTATACAACAAGCTGTATTTATTATTAGCTTTCAATGTATTGTGAAAATGTAACCATAGGTTGTATATTTGACAACATACCTTAAAATTCGTTGGATGTCTTCGTGTCACTTTACAACCAACCACGTTACTAAAATGAACCGTGGTTGTTTTGCCTTGTCCTTCAAACATTGTCTTTCCTGTAGATGCAGGAAGAATATGTAAATATTCTCCATCTATCGAAATAACCCTTTCATTCATTCCCACAAATCTCATTGGTTGTTTTCTCCATACTATATACCTTCGATAATTGGCACATCCAAGTTCATCTTGTTTGACACTCTCCATAAGAGGATGAGGTACTAACATTTGATTTCCCTTGCGAGTTTTTCGAGGATCGGCTCGATCTATCATTAATGAATTGGGTGTACTACTTGATGGTGAACCAGTCATAGTTAATGGTCCATCAGTAGCAAAACGACGTCGATACAAATCTAGTTCTGATGAATTACCAATTGATCCAACTGTACGATCAAGGTAAACAACAGTTCCGGATCCAGTAAGTTTGAGAACGTGTCCTGCTTTGTCTAATTGTCTCTTCTTACAAACAGTATCGAGTACATCGGCCAAGTAAGTATCGGTTGTGACTTCTAAAGCGACCAGTTGTCCAGGTGTAGCATTATTTGAATGAATATGAATACTCAATATCTTTTTAGTACCACTGCCCCTTGAAGTGGGTTGAGTAAGAGCTGTCCCAATCGTAGGTGCATCTGCTAATGTAGAATTCTTTCGTAATGCTGTCATAGTTGTAAGGAGAGGATTTTGATGAGGCTGGGTACCAAGTGGAAATGAGTTACTGGGTTTAGGTGTATTGATAGGAGTGAACTCTTCCTCCGCTTCAGATGAGGCAACAGCTTCTTGTTTGAATTGAGGAGTGAGTTGTTGATTTTCTTCGAATTGTTCGTCGGTCGCTTCAACCAGAGCAAACTCATCAAAAGTTTTGGAATTTGATCTCGCTCTAGGTGCAGCTCGATTGTTGGCGAATGTAAATGATGTTACGGGTTTGAGACGATCAAGAGGGGGAAAATCTGTATCTACCTCCCCGTCATCAACCATTCGTAAAATCCATCGATTAACATTCAATTTCTCAGGCGGTATCGTAGGCTCTAACTTTTCCTCAAAGTACCTCCATAGACTTAATCCGATCAGGTCAGTTATGACTACTGGTCGATTGTGTGATTCATCTTCATGAACTGTTCTCCTAATCAAAACCTCGTAAGGCTTCGTCGTTGAAGTAGCAAATGGTGCCAAGATACGAATATTGATAGGATTAGGATCTCCTTGTCCAGAAAGAGAAGCAAAACTTTCGAATGGCATGGCGGCTTTCGTTCGCTTGGCCGAAATCATTGCTGACAACAAACTCTTAGGTTGTATCGTACTAATAGGACGAGGAGGTGGTAAGGCTTGAAGTACTGGAGGCGCTGGCTTTGATCTTTTCGTTGGTGATCGTATAAGTTCTCGAGGTATAGTATTACCAATATGCTCTGGCGCGGCAGTTATTGGTCCATCAACACTATCTAATATAGATGCACTATCGATACTACCACCGAATGCTGAAGACATATCTGATCCCGAGTCTTCATCTTCTTCCTCTTCTTCTAAGAGATCACTCACTTGTCTCTTTACGCCGACATCAGGATCAGATGGATGAGTTCGAACCGATCTACCGGCTCTCGCAGCATTCCTATTTGATTCTCTCTGTCTTTGAAAGGCAGATGCATCAAACTCATTATCAGATGACATCTCACTACTCGTAACTGTATCCCTTCTCGCTCTTTCTTTCACAACCTCCACGGCAGATTGAGAGCCTCTCCTTATGCCAGGTCCGAGAGTACGTGATGGGGAATTTGCAGTAGTAGATTGTCGAAGATTGGATCCACGAATGGGAGAAGAACCAGAACGATTTCGTATAGGCATTTTCGAGAATTTGATTTGTTGAGCTGCCCTTTGATCTCCATCATCATCACTATCATCACTCAAATCACTACTATCTTCCTCCTCCATTTGTTCTCGCCTGCGCCTCCTTTTCGTGGCGATTCCTGGCCCAACAGTATCCCCTGCTCCTCCTGTGAGCAAACCCCCTTCATCAATGTCATCCTCAAGACCAGAAGGTGCCAGACCAGCTGATCTAGGTGGTGCTTGAAAGTATTCTGATGCGATAGCCGTTGGTATTGGTGGGGAATGTGTTCGTTTTATATTTGCGGCATTCGTACGCCATCCAGCAGCTTTGAATCCAGCAGTATTTAAAAACCCATCGTTAATCGTGATAAGTCGCTCTCCAACGCCATCTGCGATTGAGTTTAAATAATTTGATCTCAACTGATAAGAGACGAGACTGTGTAACGCGTCAACTAGATTAGGGAAGAGGGGGAGGGAGATAGTTGGGGGGATTAGAAAATCTTACTCTTCCACTTGAATGATCGACATAGTAGAAATAAAATGTGAATAATGTAAAGAAACGATGACCGGCTCGTAAATATGAAAGGAGAATAAGGAGGTTTAGGAAGTAGGATTGTTCAAGTCATTATCAAGCTTTTCATTATTTAATTTCAATCATGAATGAATGAAGTTGCAATGCTAGGTACATTATCTATCAGTGCTCAGCCTTACAGCAAGAAAGGTTATCTGGGGTACACTAAAATTGGCGACCATTCACTTTTCATCAGGCTGGACTGTACTCGAGTAGTAACAGCCTCTTCATCAACTAACTCACAAATCATCACAAACAAAAGTATTAACTTCCATCAACAACAATGGGACTTGTCGATTACTCGGATTCGGACGATTCAGATGTCGCAGAGGTCACTGCGCCCAAGCAATCATCATCAACATCTACAACCAGCAGACCAGCATTTCAAAAAGTTGTCGATAGATCAAATCCTGGCAAAATTCGAGTTTCATTACCACAAACATCTAAGGATGATACCAAAATCGATGAACCACCAACTAAGCGCGCAAAGACTGGTGGTGGAGCTTTCAGTGGATTCAATTCATTCTTACCAGCTCCGAAAAGAACAGGACAATCTACAAATGCGACATTAGGTGGTGGAAATGCGGCACGAAAGAGTGGTTTAGGAATTGGAGTTAGTTTAAAGACTGGAGCTACTCCTGCTTTTAGTCGAGAACCGGAGCCTGTGAGAGAATACACGGAAGAGCCTGCAGGAGATGAAGAGGCAGGTACTGAATCTGGAATGAATTTACCTCCTCCAAGCTCCTTGGTTGATGAACAGAAACCGGCAGATGAAGTCAAATTAGTTGGAAAACCATTAATGTTCAAACCATTATCTGTCGCAAGAAAACCAGCAAAAAAGAAGCTTCAAAAATCAAGCCTAAATATATCTACATCTACATCTACACCTACTTCTACTTTAACACCACAAATCAGCACACCATCCACTCCACAGAATTCTGGGAAAGCAACTCCAAAACCAAAAGTATCATTATTCTCCCTCGAAGTAGAATCAGCCAACACAACTCCAATCACCACTTCTAATGGAGAATACAAACCAATGCTTTACCAACCAGTCTCCGACCAAGAACCAACCTACGAAGAATACACTCCCACAACCACACATACTCTTCCATTCGCCCCTACTCCCCCAGTCAACACCCATAACACCGAATCCTTATCGTCAATAGCTGATACTCTTCACCTGTCTGCCGCTGAACGTCGCCAACTATTTGGGCGTCAAAAAGGTGGCTCTGGTCTACAGGCAGCAACTAAAATCATAAATTTCAACACAGATCAAGAATACGCACATAATGAAGAATTACGCGCATCAGGTGAACAAGTGGTACATAATCCAGTTAGAGCTATTGCTCCTGGTAAACATAGTTTGAAACAATTGGTTGGGGCGGCGCAGAGTCAAAAGGAAGCGTTGGAGGAAAGTTTTGCGACGGGAAGGAATAATAGGAAGGAAGCTGGTAGTAAATATGGGTGGTAGATTGGTGGTTTTGGTAATGAGTTGGGTGTCTAGATTGATCAAGTTTTTTGATATCGAGGATCGCAAAGGGAGAAAATGATGGTGATGCGGAATTTATACTATATTGAAGATGTAATGGATATACGAAAATAACTTGATACCCATGTATTTCATCACTATTTACAGATCTCTATTCATGCATCCATACATCCTACTGCGCACGTATACAACAGGAGAATTCCCTTCTCCTCTCATCTCCCTAGGTAGTAATAGAAGAAGTGCAAATCCTACAAAAATCCGACAATAAGCGAGAATACCCCCTTAATCCCAACCAAGATTCTACAAACTCATCTCGTCATAACTCATCACTCATCATTCCTCATTCTTCACTACCTTTAAACCATTCCTCTTGTATGTCACATTATACTATACTATATTATACTATACTCTACCATAATATAACATATCCACACAAAAACAATACAGGATCTTACATAAATATATAAATCACACCATCAGCAAACAACCCACTGACTCACTCACTCAATCACAAATAAAAAATAAAACACTCTAACTATAGCTAACTACACTCACTCATTACCTACCACCATAATATGTATAAATCTTAAACAAGATCTTGAAATTACAAAATCCTTTAATTAACTGATATTGATATTACGATTAATATTGATATTGATGTCCCAGTATATAGAAAGATATCTGTATATAAATCCATGGCTAGCTAGTATATATGTAAGTAATTTTCTATTAACTTGTTCCTTTTTCCTACTTCTTGATTCTTGATTGATTCCTGAAAAGCTGAGTGATTAAGCATAGTGGTAATTCTTATTAATTTTAAAAATTGATAGTTTTAGGGTTTAGGGTTTAGGGTTTAGGTTATATATATATATATATATTATACAATATTTGCCCGGATATAATGTTAGTGCCAGTGCCAGTGCTAGGGTTGTGGATCTTTGATTTTGGAGATTTTGTATGTATGTTGTGTGTTTTGAGATTGGGATTTTGTGAGATAGAGAGAGAGAGAGTTTTTTTTTTGATGGGTCGGTGGGTTGGTGGCGGATGAAGTGTTGAGGTTTGGTGTTTTGGGGGAAGAGAGGAGAGGAGTGGAGTGGAAAGGGGAGAGGTATAGGAGAGGTATAGGGAGGGGAAGGGGGAAGAGAAGGGGGAAGAGGAATATCAGAAGAAAGAGTATACACACAGAGAGAGAAACAGAGATAATAAAAAGCAACATCATAACCGAATATCAATATATAAAAATAAAGAATAAATAATAGATAATAGATAATAGATAATAGATAATATATAATATACAACATAGAAATAAATTATATATAGCATAATCCTGAGTGCTAGCCCACCCAAGAAATTCCAAAATCAAATCAAATCAAACTAAGTAAATAAACAAATAAATAAATAAATAAACTCCACCCACCCGATCACAGCTCTTGTTTTCAGGGAATATATACGTCATAATACCATTTAGTTAGTCCAGATACCAACCTATACCAGACCAAACCCAACCCAACCCAACCAAACCAAACACCCAAATAATCATCTAATCATCCAATCAAAAGCACCACACCACTAACAATCCACCTCAACAAGCGTAAAACTCCTCTCTCCCCTCATCAAAAACTCCCATTCCCCTCTAGTCCCCGGACTAAAATCCTCCACTCGATTCGGGGTTCTATCACCCCTAAAAAACGGCCCCCTATCCTCTTCCTCTTTCTCTCCCATCCCATCATCCCCCCTCCCCCAAACCGGACTTTCCCCATCCCTCCCCTTAGCACTCTCCCCCACCTTAACCAGATCCTCCGCACCCACAAACGAAGTCCTAACCGACAAATTCCTCCCAACACACCTCCCTTCCTCCTTTAAAATCGCCCCCTCCCTCAACCCACCCCCATAAAACTTCCTATACCCCTCTTCAACATCACACAGCGCACTTAGCGAAATCCCCAACCACTCGTAACATTTCACCAACTCCCCTCTTCCGATTTTCTTCCTATCTTGTAATAATACCAATCTTCTCAATTCATCTACCGCAATCTTCATATCTTCTACCGAGAGACTACGAGAATAAACATGCAGTGCGCATTTAAATGTATACAAGTAATCGAGAGAATAGAGCGATAATCCCGCACTTGTATAAACAAGTCGATTTTGAGAAAGAGAACGATGGATTAAATCTTGAGTGGGTGAATCGGTTATGGGTTCTGAGAGCGATGATGTAGATAACCAGTTTCCGCCGATAGCGGGGAATTTTTTCTCGGCTCGGGATATGGTGGTGCGTAAGATGCGTTCGGCGCGGGGGTTTAGGGTGGTGGAATGCATTAGGGTTATGCCGTAGCGGTTTGGTGTGTCTGGGGCTGTCCATTCGGTGGTTGGAGTGCAAGGGGTTGAAGGGGGGGAAATGGATGCGCGGATGTGGTGGGCCATGGTATCTTTTGGGGATGAGGGAAGTCCGGAGTATTTGGTGCGTGAGAGATAGATTGTGGATGTGGAGAGTGTAGATGCCGATGTAGAAGTTGAGCGTTCGGAAGGAGAATTGGAAAAGATTGTGTTACTTGGACTTGCAGCTCGGGAGCTCAAAGGAGAAGATCTTCGACTGGAAGGTGAAACATCGCGAGTGTAAGATGTAAGCGGTGCGTTATTGTAAAGCAGTGTTGTCGGTGATGCAATGAGAGAATGAGAACCAGGTGCGGTTACAGATTTGGATATAACAGGACTTTGAATTTGATTGTCTCTCTTGATGACAATTAATGATAGGTGAAGACATTTTCGTACCAGACGTTTTGATACATAATCAAGAGCTTCGAGTAATTCGGATGGTAATTGCATTGGTTGAAGCAGTGATGTACCTGCTTCCAATGGAGCAGATATACTATTCTTTGAGATAGGCATATTGATGATAGTGAACCGGTCCACAGTAGATAGATAGATGAACTAAGAACTTTTAATACCTTGATCTATCTGTATATGCAATATAAAAAGCTGAAGCCGATGAACAGTTACTTAAGTTGAGGATCTAGCTAACAGATATACAAATATCAAGACTCCAAAAACAAAAAGACGCCAATCCCCAAAATAAACTCTCCGATGCACAATTCCCGCAAAGCGCGTAGCGGGTAGCCTTAAGATGTAACTAAGCATGGTCTATAAGGCAAATGGCGCAAGAATCTGATGAGCTTTGACTACATCCTGCTCAATGATCATTGAGTACTACATCAAAACTTTCTTGGGGAGAAATTATCTCTTTCTAGAGCAAATATGCAAGACATTCATTTATGTTCATGTAATATGATTGGTCAAAAGTGTTTCCTGAAATAAAATCATGCATTCCATTAGTTCTAGTCAAATGTGGATCATTTTATTTTTGGTATTAACGATTACTATATCAAACCAGCAAAGATATAAACTCACACCCATTTAGCAGCCACAAATATTCAAAGGTCTGTATATAGTACTATAATGCTAGGACTTTATCAAAAACACACCAGATGTGATGAACTCCGGGCGCCTACCATCTACCAATGATATATTCAATATCCGTGCAACCCTGATAATATCTCAATTTATTTTTGGATGTGACGAACTATGGGAATTTTCAAATATAGAAACAAAATACCCCGCATCTGGGATTTCTGGCGTTTATCTGCTAAAAATCATTTATCAACTGTAGATCCGTTGAAACAAATAAGAATTTTCTCCTGATTACATGCAAGCCCTCACACCTCACCCCTCACCCCTCCAACCTCTAAAAAAGATCACCTCGATATACATACTCGAACATATATTGAAATTCCCTTATATCACGACTCACAACCTTGCATATTATATTTCATCTTCTAATCATCCAGTTGTCCAATTACTAATAAGAATAGTACTCCCTTGTGCCTTTATCATTAATTTGGCTGATGCAATTAGACCTTATTCCCTTCCCCTATTTACAATATACCCCTCATCCTCACCTCGCTTCTCAGTTTCAGAGTTTCAGTTACGATAGATCACCAGGTACCGGTGGATATGGGAATTTCCCGATGCTGATATGAACCTTTGCATATCTCATCATGTCCCGCACTCCGCATATTGCATGTCCATTTCCATTTCCATTTCCATTTCCATTTCCATTTCCATTTCCATTTCCATTTCCATTTCCATTTCCATTTCCATTTCCATTTCCATTTCCATTTCCATTTCCATTTCCATTTCCATTTCCATTTCCATTTCCATTTCCACCCGACATCCATATCCACATGCACGTTCCTATCTGACTTACAATAGTCACCCAAGAATAAACTATATCCTCGAGTACATCACATCACATCATGTACATCAACAAAGCAGAAACAGTTAAGAATTACCTATAAATATTTATCAATAACATCTATAGTTCCGCAAGGCATATTCTCTTTGCTCGCAAGTACTTTTCTTCTCTTGCTCGTAACTAAGCTAACTACGTAATTCTCCGCCCTTACCAGCATGATATCATAATTTCTTCTCTCCCATCATACTCTCATTGTTCCCTTGCATCATTCGTCCCTGAAAAAAACATGTCCGATAGACTTCACAACGCCATCCATTATCTAATCATCCATCCATCTTCACATCCCATCCCAATCCATTCCGCCCATCCATAAGATAAAAGAAAACTAAAATCACAGTAAAGGAAACACAAAATATCATGAGTCATTTATCCCATCCACTGTATCAACTCCGTTCATTCCAACCCAGCCCAATCCAGCCTGAGCAGCCCAATCCGCCGCCAATACCAATTCCCAATGTCCATAACCAAACCCCGACTGAGCCAAATGCATTTCATCAAAATTAGTAAAAGCCATTCGCCAGTATTGCTATGCTATGAGTCTCTGAAAATATTACGCCACATATAACGCCTTTTTATGACCTGTCCGCATTTAACAGCTAATTCATCCGACCAGTATTTGGCCCCGTCGTTTAATAACACCATACGCCTATGGAGACTGAAGACTTCGAAAGCTTTGACAGCTTATAATCAAAAGATGAAAAAGACGAAGACTGAAGATGATAGTATCACAGGAATTTAGACAATAAAGTTAAAGCTGTCCATCTAACTCACTATCCATAGGTTCACAAAGTTCCGTTATGTTGTCCATAGGTTCATCAGAGGCATATTCATCATCAGAATTTTCCCATGCTATGATATGGTTAGCATGTTTAAATGGGCTAGAGTGCGATATCCTACCAGAACCATCGTCTACTTCTTCAACCATATATCTTCTTAAGTGATTCCAGAGATCTTAAATATGTTAGTTGCTTTTTTGATTACAAATCGAAATGACGTTGACTTACTGTCCATGTTCAACTTATATCGATCGGCTGCTGGTCCAGGCTCAAAATATTGAAGACAAAGACCAACAACATGCTCGATGTTAATCATAACCGTCCTAACGGCTTGCACACGTTGTCGTATATAAACATCTTGTAAATATTCTAAACAAGCGTTACCCAATCTACGCGTCTGGTCCCGCCTGTGATCTGCTAGGGTTTGTTCATTTTCTGGTGATGTATCGTCCTCTTCAACACCGATATTGAAGATAAGTTCTCCAAGGAAATCTTCGGTATCAGATCTGACAGCGCTTTGGTGATGAGTAAGAAGTGTAGGGACCCATTGAGTAAGTGTAGACAAGACAATCTTTGTGATTTCCTCTTGAGAAATATCGTTGCTGTTGCTTCGCAAAGCGACGAGATCTTTGAAGAACCGAAGATACTCTGATCCATCGTTATTGTCAAGATTAAACGAATTCTTAGCAATATGAAAAGCCATATCCGGAATTGCTTTCGGGTTTTCTGAATGCTCGCAATACAATATCGCGGCTCTTAAAAATGGACCCCATAGTGGTTGACTGTTCCTTTTAATGCCATGAATAATTGCACAATACATATATTGGTCAAGATCAAGCTCGTCAGGATGTGGAAAGTGTAGTAGTGTGGCGATAATCGATTTCGTTGCGTGCTGGTTCTGGTTAATCATGAGAAGCTTTTCGGTGAGGATATGGGCCTTAGTCCTCGTCCAGTGGCAATTAATTCTGTTCCTTTCATCAAACGAAAAGGGTATTTTACGACCACCAAGAGACAATTGCAGTCGTGAACTAGACTGATCGATTTCAGCAGCCACTGGGTCGCAAACTGAGATGAGTCGAGCTAAGAGGTCGATGATGCTATCATACGAGACTGGTCTTTGCATCAAATTCCTCTTGGAAATTGCTTGAAGCATTCGTGTTAATTGAGAATCATTGTCTATCGTATCCGCGCATATGATATCAATGGCTTTCATGAGAAATCCAGAGTCGAGAAGAACTGTTGCCTCGTGATCCCCGAGGTTAGCGATGCTAGCGAGCAAGCCAAAGTATTCAGGCCAAGCCCTTATACTGTTGTGAAAGTTTTCGTATAGTCGGACCAAGGCGGCAACCACATCTTGAAGCAAATTTGGATCGTCAGAACGAACGCGGCCACCATTACTAAGACCGTATGCATATCGTATTCCATTCTTTACCGACAATAAGGCTCCCAGGACTGCAACGCCTACCTCTGAACGGACCGCGGCTTCAGGACACTTCAGAAGCAAGAAACGGAAAGAATCTGTGCATCTACAAAGGTAGTCAAGAAAATCCCGGCTGCATTCGCCGCAATATTGGCATTGTGCCCGCAAGGAGTTTACGTATGTTCCGAGGTCTGGGACATCTTTTGAACGTGCGACTACTTGGTCCAGATGACACATTGCAACCCACATGGCTTGCTTTTCGACTTCGTGCGCGTCTGTGCACTTCCCATTGTGCAGGAGCTTATTCAGATGCCTTGTGTTTTCAAACATATTCCGAACCAGGAAGACATGGGCAGGATCGTGGAGACAATACCTACGCATCACAAGCTCGTTCTCCAGAGTGATGTGGTTCGCCTGTCGCGGCTCGACAGCTATCTTCAATGGGTTACGCACCACAGGCTTGTTCTTCATGTTTATGCGGCTCCCCTGTAGCGGATTGACAACTGCCTTCGGTGAAACTCCATTCTCCTTTTTGGCCAGTTCATCGTTTGCGACGATCAATGTGGAAGAACGTTGGTAAAACAACATATAGGCACTATAGTTCTTTTCAAATGGGAGGTTGTCAATAGTCCCATGCTCAAGACCACCAAAACAGGCTGACTCCATGAAGCCTGGCTCCCAAGAAGTCACCGCGTCATCATTGAACTCCACCCAATTTTCTTGGCTACCAACTTGTGGCCGCTCTCGGATGTACGAATAGTAGTGGCCAGTTTCTGCTGTTCCAGTGTGGACAAGAACGCCGACAAGCTCAAACATATCCTCTTCAACTTCACCTAATTCGTTCATGAGGTATTCAACCTTGTAAGGCCGCATGTCTATCGATGGCGGAAATGTAAAGTGGTCGTTGATTTTATTACGTGTCATTGTGCGAAGATTGTAGTCGAATCTTTTCAAATGAAAGATCAAATTATCTGGCACGTCCGTGAGACACGCTCGTTTGACTGCGTTGACATGACGATCACAAGCTTCGCATTTGTACTTGTTTTCTCCTACATGGCTTCGCCCTCGACATAAGCCTGTAGACTTTCTTGTAGAGATTTCTTCCCCCTAAATCACATGGAATGGCGGAGAAGTCTTCTAATCTCCCCGAGATATGAGGGCATTCTTGCGATTTGACGCGTGCTGTACCAATTTGCCTCCATAAAATGATCTAACTTTGCGTTTATCATCGTCTGTTAAATTTTCACGTTCGAAACGATCGAAGAGAAGGTTGTAGAACTCGTCGACATCCATTTGGACGGTGACATCAATCTCCGTCTCCTCAAAGGTTGTAATAGACGCAGCAAAATTAGTTGGATCGATGAATCGTTGCATACTATTTTGCATGAAAGAGAACAATTGTTGAGTCTCAATGAGTAGCTTTTGCGAACCTGGAACAGTGATAGGTGAGTGGAGAATGAATTCCCTGAATGACAAATTCATGAATAGCTGCGTAACCAGAGAGTTGAGGTAGCACGTATTAGAAAGATTTTTCAGGCCAACATAACCAGTTGGAGATCTGACAGCCTTCGATCTTTCATATACAATTTGCATGTCGAAGAGATATGGGTCAATGGCCCTGTGCTCATAAGGAGCAACCTCTGACAGTAGCTGCAATAGTTCTTTGTACTGGGTAATGTCGTCTTTGACTAGAGCCAATACAGTCTCTCCCATGGTATGTCGAGTTTTAGAATTTATCACTGGGATTTTTTGGGCAATAAGTCCATCGTTTCCAATATCATCCTCGTTCGAAATGGTAGGAAACAAACGTCTCTTGAAGATGCGAAGTCCTAGACCTCTACAGGACAACTTTTGTTCTGGATGCTTCATGCTCATCACGGCATGATGCAACAGATTGGCTAAGCCTTGAGTAACCATATCAACGGCTTCAGGTACGCCAACATCTTCACAGTTATCGTGATGGATGAGTAGCTCACCCCACTCTCGTGCGACGGTGATAAGATCTACATCGACTTCTGTCTCCAACAATCTTTTAAATATCGTCAGTGCAAGTTGAAACGTCTCCTCACACTGTCCAGGTCTCTTGACAGCCTCGGGAATCAATTTGGCTACTATCGGCCACAATGTGATAGCAACCTCGGATGGGGAAACATGAGCTGGGTTGGGATTGAAGGTAGATTTGCTCGTGATGTGTTTTGAGATGGCTTTTCGGACAAATGGCCGAAGATCCTCCAAGAGAAGATCTTGAAGGAGATCACTGCCATTAAGATGGCGAATGAAGGTACTCCATAAAGCAGAATTCTGAATGGCAACCTCAAGCAAAGCCTCAACACTAGTCCATATCAGATGGACCGAGGCTTCTCCACCCGCCACTGACTTGGCAGCATATAGTAAGTCTAGGAGACGTTCCAAAAGTTTGTCGTTGATACCAACCGTCGATGATGCAGGTAGAGCCGGGTCTATGAAGTATTAGCTGATGATTCGTTGATGGAATAAATTATCATTACCTTTAAGGAGTGACGCCAAGCTGCTAATAAAATGCATGGCTAAAGTTTCTCTAATTGTTTGCGGTGCACAACTTTCAAGGAATTTCGGATCTGAGATCGCAGCGACGAGTAAAGTCATTGCTCGATCAAAACTAGCAGCATCAATAAATCCCTGCATGAGTTAGTCAAGACCTCCCAGGGGAAGATGAATTGCAAACCTTTGAAGACTGGGAGGGAATGTATTGCTTCAATCCATACAAGCCATACAGAGCTTTGTATGGTTGCCCAAGTGGGAATATTTCGGTATATGGGACGGCAGAATTGCTAAGATCCTGTAGCACTCTGTCATAGACTGGAAATTGAATGAGGAATGAGTAGATCTGAGAAACGTTAGGATTATAAAAGCCGTTAAGATGTCCATTACGCATACCTTTTCCGCCAAATTTTCTTGCATGCCAAGATAACTCCAAATTTGATCGAAATTTCTTGTGATTTCCGATTGGAGAGGACCATTGCTGCTCGGCAATTGAGGATTCGTTTCGTCACGGCGTTTGACGAGAACAAGGCCGTTCAAATTGAGACTCTCCACAGACTTACACAATTCAGCGTCATCGTGCATGAACTCCTTACCACTGTAAAATACCCTACAAGAAGTAAAATCAGTCTCCTTTTGCAGCTTTGCAACTAATGTAGCAGCTGTGTCTTTCGCGCCTATCGTGAGTTTCTTTATACACGAAGTAGTTTCACCAAATGCTTGGTACATGATCGTAAGAGAAGTTCCCTCGACAGTATCTGATGGTATGCTCACAGCGGACCGCAACTTCGGAGTGGCAAAGTGTGCGTGGCATGAATATGTCGCGAGAAATGTTTGCAGAGCTGCGAGTGACCGAATGAAAAGCAATTCCTGCTCTTGAATGTGAAATTCTGGAAGCACGACAACCATATCTTCATCATCACTCCTAACTCCATCAGTACTAGAGGTTTTCAATCTACCTGCAGCATCTGCTAGTTTGTCCAAACACCGCGTGAGAAATGCTAAATGCAGTTCCCGTGTCTTGAAGTGGGGCAGACTACGGATAAAGGGACCCACGTAAACACCAACAAGCTCTTGTATGGCCTGCTCGTAGACTTTTCCTTGAGGGGCGCTTTCGATTATCCGCCATAACTGCTCCATGGCGAGAAAGTCAAAGGATAGATCTAGCTTAACATTCTCATCTTCTTGAGACTCCTTTTCTTTCTCCTCTAGCCAGAAATCAACCCCACTCTTCACAAACAGCAAAGTTCCATCTAAGAAATGATTAGGTTCCAGATGTGGTAGATAACTCTGAAAGCAAATGGTAAGGTATCTGTTGGAAAACTTCGCTTTCTGGAAAGCCTTGTTCAAGATTTGCCATCCTGCTAGGCGGTCGGCTGTGTCATTTGACTGAGATCCCACCAACAAATTCCAAAGCCGTGTGCCAAGTTCGGCATTGATAGTGTCCGGATCCATCAGAATGATTTGTAGTAAAATCTCACGACGAGCAATGTTGGCAGGGCTATCATAAGCAAGAGAGCGATTTCCAGCTATGTTCGATTCAAGCTCATCGACCATCAATCTTGTAAGGCCATGCTGAGCGGTCAGTGTGTGAAGATCTGGCATCAAACTTTGATGAAGCAATGCACTGACGACACATATGCTGCCAGGGGCAGTGGCAGTTTTGTCAGAGATGTCCTTGATGCAACTTAGGTAGATATCTGTGCGTGCTTCCTGACCAGGCCCATGAACAAGCAACTCGCGTAGGTGACTTGCAGCAAAATTTTGAATCTCAGGATAACCGTTCGGGTATTCATCGCTGATAATTGATGATTCGCGAATCAGACGGACGCATATGTCATAGGGAGACGCGTCGAGATCACTACGACCTACCTTGCTTGAAAGTTCTCTGAAGAGATGTTCGCAGAAGTCTCTCATTGCGACAGTGAACGCTTGTATTGGTAAGGCAGCAACTTTCTGACAAATGTAGAGGCACGCTGGATACTCGAGTAAGTTAAGGACTTTCTTCATCATTCTGAGAATAGCCTCCACAACCCTTGGATCCTGGCTCGTTATCACTGTCTGCCAGATAAGATCAGTTTGCTCGTCCTCGTATGTTTTCGTTACTACTAGAAAGCCGACGATGTTGCCGCTTTCATTGATAATTTCGGGGTGAGATCCAATACCGACGATGTAGTCAATTAGCTTATGTTGCAATACTAACTTCGCAAAGTGAAGAAGAACTAAGCCACCGCTTGGCGGCGCTTCCTTTGCTCGATAAGTACTATGAAGATTTAAGAGATCTGCACACATGGTTGTTACACCAACTACTCGAAGTTGCATCTGAGTTGATGTGATAAGTTTTTGAAGGACGAAAAACTTCCATTCGAGAGCCATGGCCTTGGAAAGCATTGGGATGGGAAGATCGGGGCAGATCTTTCTATGTATCTCCATTTGAGATTTCGCTATTCGAGGGTTCCACGTTGCCGAATTCCACAATATCTGCGTTAGACATGAAAGATGCGTATTTGCGGCTTCAGGTGTAAGAAACGTGGCATTTTTCTCAATGATAGAGTCCAGCGCTGAAGACATGACATTGAAATAGTCATATCCATGGGCGAGTTTCCGGCTAGCGTCGTCATAAATCTCGGGTCCTGATTGTCTCTTAGCCACCGCAGCAAGAAGACTCATTCTATCCATCAATTTTGACGGCTCGGAAAAATTCTCAAATAGTCTTGGACAGTTTGGGAGGAACCGCGACTGCCCTTCAACGAACTTGGTCAGAGCAAGCATCGATCCACCACCATCCTCAAAATAAGTTTGAAGCTCGGCAGTATCTTCATCCCACTTCCAGTTGTAATGGGTTTCCAAACTTCTTCCAATATGATTTGACTCTGAATTGATCTTTTGTAGGTGAGAGTAAGTGTGAATGAAATGTGGGGACACGAGTTCCGGTATTTGGTCTGTTCCATATGATAATGATTTGACGTCCATTGCGAGGAATCTTCCGGAAAGTTTGGCGTACCGGTATAAGAAGTGGGTTAAAGATTTGCAACGCGAGTTAAGTCTGTTCATAAAGTTTCCAAAATAACGACTGCCATAAAGTTAGCTCAGAGTGCCCTCCGTTATTGCAGGTATGGTATTACAAACCTTCGACAACTCAATGCCCATATCATATCTGGAAATGCAATCCAAAAGTCTCTATGTCTGGTGAATGCATTATGCAAGCGATTGTCTGAACTAGCGAAACGAAGAAAATCATCTATCCAGGCACGAAGTCGATCAAATAAATCCTCAGTATCAATGGCATCTACAATGGTTGTTAAATGTTTCCTTTATCTCATGGTTGCGCAAGATTCCTTACCGAATTGCAAAATGTGTAAAACCTTCCTGAGTGCATGAAGCATGTTTTCTCCGCGACGTTGAGCCGGGAAGTGATTTAGAGGGTCAGGAAAGACTTCTTCCTCGTCGATAATACCGAGAGTTGGGCTTCGCTCAGGATCATCAGAACTGATAGGAACGAGTTCAACCTCTGGGCTTCCTTCCATGACAGAAGGAGAGGAAGAGGGCGTTTCAATAACTGAAGCTGGCACAGTTGAAAGCACATCACTTTCGGATTCAATACTAATTCTGGCACCTTCATCGTCCACAATGTGTGTCATTTTCGATGGAGTATTAGGCGAAGGGGAGCTGAAGTATATCGATTCTAAAGGAGGTTGAGGAGTTCGCAGGTTGATGGTAACTCGACTGGATGTTGGTCCGGTTTGTGATTGCGCGGTGCCAGGTCGTGTCGGAGTGCTTGGTGGGAAAGAGTCATGAAGAATATCCGAATCATCTTTATGTGACGACATCGAATCGGGTGGAATATTTGAAGCTTTAGCCGTGTCAACCGACCTACTCCTCGAGCCACTTCTAGAAGTCTTTTGTCGCTTTCTCGCAGAATGCTGCTCGTTGTCATCGAATGGAAGTGGATGTGTCGAACAAGGCTCTGATGAGATCGCACGTTCTGGCGACGACTCTACTGGATCTTGGTCCATTTGGTAGGGTGTGAGAAATTGAATGAATGCGATGGAAGCTGTCTAGAACAGCAGGAGCCGTAGCGACCGAAAGTTTTCGCAAACCCTTCACGTAGCTAATAGCCAAGGAAGTCGCATGTGAATGTAATTTATTAAATTGATATTCCCCGCACAAGAAGGTGAATTTGGGAATTATCTGAGAATTAAGCTTGGGAGGCACGCCGGGATGACGAGGTGAGAGGGGTAGATTTCCTATGACGAGAATTATAAAGTTGAAATAGTTTATGCGATTAAGATGTAGTAGGTATTGAAGTTAAAGCTACACGGGTTAAACTTTTCCTGGTTAAAGACCTGCGGGTGATGTGTGAAAGAAAAGAAAATGATTGTGGTGTTCTGATGTGTGTAAATAAATGTGTGTGTACCTAGGTAGGTAGAGGGAAAAGGAAAAGCCAAAGGTACGCAGTTACGTAGTTTTACGATCCACCGATTGATTTGCAGGCAAGGTAAGGTAGGTAACAACAGTAACTCTAGGTTACAGTTAGGATGAATGTCAAATGTAAAGTGTCTTGCTTTTCCTTATCCAGCAAGTCAACCCTTTTGAATATAAGGTAAAAGGGTTTGAACGATCAGAAATTGGGGAATTAACTATTAAAGAAGAGTTTTTGGTTGTGAAATAATTTTTGGGAATTTTGATGGATTGATGATGGTGGTGGATGGTATTACTCTTATCGAAACTAAATTTCGAGCTTTCACTTTGCACGCCCCACTCAATTCATGGCGTGTGGATAAAGCAGCAACGCTGAATCGAGGCGGCAGTTTACTCTTAGAAATTGATAGGCAGGATAAATAACTACTACTTCTTTTCAGATATTGTTCTATATATGAATAGCAATTTGCTAATGAATGACAACTGTATAATGCAACATTTTAAGAATAGCTATTTGTATATTCCAATACTATCCATATAAATTCAATTATGTCTCAACATCACAATGCGTTTGTTTCCATTGGTGTTTTGGCAAGAGATTACCAATTGGTAGAATTCATCTAAAAGTGGCAAGGAGTCCAAACTCCGCCGCCCGCCATATGTGTTTTTGGCCTAAGGCATTCACACATTTCGCTTTTCCACTAAACCCAATTTTCTTTGGTCTACAGCTAACCTTATTTTACCCCTCCAAAATTTTGATATCAAACGTCTTCTAGGTATTCACTACTAGGTAGGTGTCAATCAAAGCTTCACTATATCCAAAAATCACATGATCGAATCGACTTCGATCCCTTCACAAGATAATTACCCAGTGCCTAGTTCCTAGTAGCCATAAGATATCAATTTTCACAATCGGTCTACTACTCGAAGGTATCCACAGCTTAAGAAAAGGTTCCGCTAGCCACCTTCCTTCAACACTCTCACCTCTCTGGGGACAAAAAGAAAATGGATAATAAGAAAACTAAAACTATTTATCAATTGGATACTCCATTCACTACGGTTCAATGGTTAGTAAACATTCACCACCTGCATCACTTGGTATAAATCCTAATCTGAAATCCCAGGCCACAAATATCCTCCAAAGACCAAGAAACCATAGTTGAACTTCTATGCAGGTGTGTAAATCTTCTGATGCATAAGCACACCTGAAATTATCTTTCAGTCACTGATTTCTGTCCCAAGAGAATTCCTAAAATCATCAATTGAGACATAAGTGCAGAGAGTTCTGCAATCCATCAAAGAATCCTGTACAGCAATTTCATGTTAATCACAAGGCTAACCATCTTTTAGTATATTATCACCAATTGGATCATATCGTTCCAATCACATTATTCCATCCAAAGGAAAGCGCAGCAAAAAGCGCAAAAGAAGAGACTCAAAGGCAGGAAATGAGAAGTCCTCAGAAACTCCTCCGCCACCTGAAATATCTTCCCACATTGTTACAGGGCTTAACAGTATCCATCGAATGCTAGAAGAATCGTCCAAAAAAGTCCTGGATACCAAAGCAAATCCCGATTACCCTAAATCCGAGACCAGCCCCCAAACCAAGGATGTCTTCAAGCCCGATTCCCATTTCTCAGCCATATTCGTCGCCCGCTCCGATCAACCCCCAATCCTCAACTCCCATCTCCCACAAATCATCGCCACAGCCTCAAAAGCACATCCTACCAAACCATCCACAAGATTAGTACAACTACCCAAAGGATCCGAAATTCGAATAGCCGCAGCACTCGGTCTATCAAGAGTTTCATTCCTAGGAATTCTTGACGATTCACCTAATTCTAAGGCTTTGGTTGATTTGATTCGGGACTGTGTGGAGGAAATACAGATACCTTGGTTGGATGAGGCTAGGAAGACAGAGTATCTGGGGACGAAGATTAATTCGATTCAAACTTCGATAGGGGCGGTGAAGGCTAAATGATAGAAGGGTATAGGGAGTTGAAGCTGTATATATCCGTCCTCAATTGCATCACCCACGAATCAAATGCTCTGTATAAAGATTTGCTAGTTTTCTTTTTCGTTTTCATATATATTTATATTCACTACTTTAGTCCTCTTAAACAAGCTTTGGTGTCCGTTATATATATCCAGTGAGCTATAGGTTGAGTTATAGATTACGTTTGATGATATTCATTCACTCATTCATTTATTCATTCATTGCTAGATATCCACATGTGATTGCTTGTTTGTGTGTTTGTTTGCCTATCTTCTTTCCTTGCTGTTTTAGATGCTTGTGATTTCAGGACTTCCATATTTCGATGAGCTCGTCGTATTTTTGCATATTCTCATGATTTCATTATTTCCATTTTTCTTCGGTCATTCTGCCATTTCCTTTTGTCCCCTAAAACTTAAAAGGGTTCAATAAGCTGGTCCGACCTTCTGATTAACAATTCAACAATTTCCCCATTCATTTCAGTTCAATCCAATTCCATTCATCCTCGACCAAAACCCGCCGTCAAACTTTCAAGTCATCCATTCAATCATTTACAATTTCCCATCATACCTCTCATCCCATCTCCCCTAGTCCTCCGCACTTACTCATCCCCAGCAAGTAAAGTTTCCACCTTACTAACCTTCTCCTCAAAAGTCTGCTCCTTATCTGTTCGCGTCCCTGCTCTAATATCCGTCTGCACGCGCACAACTCCGTTTTGATGAACTAGTGTGTGAGCTTGTCCTATTACGCGCATGACTTCGTCCCAGGAACCTTCTGTATTTGGGGAGAGGGGAGGTGGTTAGTTTTGTTTGTGGATGTGGGTGTGGATGGAAGCTGGGAGGAAATGGGAAAGGAGGGCATAGGTGGATGGGAAAGAAGGAAGGTTTCTAAAGGAGGGATGATATAGGTATAAAATCATTTGCGAGGGTGCGTTTGAGTGTCCATATATGTAATTAAATAGAACAATGTATCTGCACTTGCAAAAGCTCATTTATCCCCCTTCGAGTCTTTAACGTTTAAATCCCAACCTGATATCACATGGAAATAACAAATCTAGAAATAAAAGAATAAAAAGAACATACCAACAGTAGTACCAGCAGAATGCATACTATAACTCAAACCACTAGCCTTCATCAATCTCTGAACAGCAGCTACTTCTTTGGATACTGAAGCTGTAGTGGTACCGATCTGGTGTTGTTAGTATTGCCTCGAGCTTTTTGAGAAATCGAATGGTAGAGTAAATTTGGATAAGAGAAAGGAGAGAAAGGAAATAGGAAGGAAGAAAAAGAAGAGATGCACGAGGGATAGAAGAAAACCTACAGGAATCAAACAAAAATCCGCAATGGCTTTTGGTGGTGTAGGAATATTTGCATAATCCGTAGTACTAGTTGTTGAAGAAGACATTTTGAGTCTGTGTTAATGTTGTTATATTTGGTTCTTGGTATGATTTCTAGATCTTCGGAATATTGAGAGTTTTAAGCAAAGGTGGGTTGGTATGGAATATGATGATGGGATATTGAAATGAGTGAGGATGAGAAAACTTGCGAACTTGAGATAGATGATAGAGGTGATAGAGGTGAGGATTATAACACGTGATGTGGTTCGATGCGGGGTATTTTCATCTGCATAGGATTTGATTTGATGAACCCCGCTATTCTTTTTCTTGGAAGTTTTCGACATCTCCTCAGTTTTTATACTTCTTTACATCTTTAGATATCGACTATTACCTGAGTATATTATATCTCTTGAAGTCTCTAAATCCCTGTCCCATATCTTGTAAGACTCATGTTACCATTCCCGAACTCTTTCCTTCACGGAAGCCGGAAGGATGTCGAAGAGATCTTTTTGAGTGATAGCCTACATTCCCGTTGATTCTTCTTAGTATGAGAGCATAATACTTCACTACGATATCATTATCTGCACATGTGTTAATGTCAGGTCTTTTCCTCTTATTTCTCCTTCTTACCTTTTCTTTTCCGGTTCAACTTCTACTTCTGCTTTAACTTTTTCATTGCTCGCTTCTCACCGTCCGATTTGAAAGCTTCGGATTTTGAACATTTGAGAATTTTTTGATCATCCGATAAGTTTATCATCCAAAATTGAATTCGATGCTTGAGATTATTTTATTGCTTAGCAAGTCTTTAATATTCAAAATTACTTCAACCTTTAGGATCATTCCAATACCCGGAAGTCTCATAGATTGAACTGCAATCCGGTCTTTGGACGTCGCCCTTTCCTCCCTCCTCCCCCCTCTTTTTAATTATCCTTCTCCCCCCTGCATACACTATTGCCCTAACAACCATATCACCATCTCGTGCTTCCCATCCAAAAACCACCCAAAATACCTTCACAGCCACTGAAATCATAATTTGCTCAACGCAGGATACACTTCTAAGGAATATGGTTACCAATGTAGAGACTACGAGATTCAATTCCGACCATGTTGATGAGCGCAGCATGTGGCACATGGATATGTGAAGGTCTTGGCGATGTCGAAGTTTGTGGGAATGGCACATTCGTGCGAATAAAAGAAATGCTCGACGGGCTTGCAGCACCTGGAGGGAAGGTTTCCGACTGGCGCCCTCAATCCGCCCTTAACTCACTTTGTGTCATCAAATCAGGCACAGAGCCAGGCGGCGAAGACATATAGCCGTCTCCTCGAATCTTGCTAGATAAGCTCTTGTTGTATCTCAAAACATCGACATCTTGATATCTAGAAGTAACATTGAAGTTTGAAATTGACGTTTTATTCGAACCTCCGAAAAAGATTGAACCTGCAAGATAGTAGATAGAATCGTTTGAATTTCTCAAAACGGATCAAGTATCAAATCAGCAAAAAAGTCTCGTCTCAAAAAAAAAAACACGAACAGACAGAACTATCATACAGAGGTATCTATCCATCGAATGCTTTTTATAAAGTTTGATACATCTTTTTTGAAATTGGCACCCGATAAGGAGTAAATTTCATTTCATTTCACTAGGAATGACATGCTGTCGGTGCGTGATTGATCTTAAATTTATATTATGGCTTCTCCTACCAGAGTTTGCCTATGACTTAACTTTTTTTATCCGCCTCGATTTAAAACCGTACTTCAGATAAACCCATAAGTGTTACATCGGACTTCACATACCGAACATCAAGTGCTCAGCATCATGTGATATGAGGATCCCAGTGGGCTCAGCAGTCCCAGTAGCACTGGGACGCATGCCACGAAGGTCTATATAATCAAGATGAATTTCCTTTGTATAGAGCTTCGTGCTCAAGATCAATCATTTAGTATACTCTACTATTAGTTACGAATTGCATCATTGTCATTACTTAAGTCCCTGCTTGACGCCTAGTTATAAACTATCTCGAGAGTCTAGAGCACTTCCACGTGATCTAGACGGCAAACCTCGTAACATTAATATCGAATTTGTTATTTTTGAAATAAATAAAATATATAGTTTTATAGATAATATATTTAAAAAGATATACAAATTAAAAAAAAAAGTAATATAATTAATAAATTATATATTCAGAATATAAATATAAATATAATTTAATATAATAATATTACGACCAATCCTAACAGCTACTCAGGTGACTAAGCTCATTGTCACATGACCCAATATTGTCCCACCTAGAATCATTCAATTATAAATAATAGGATATAATAAAAGGCGATAAAATGTTTAATACAAAGGTTTATATAATTATAATAAATTGTTACGAGGTTTGCCGTCTAGATCACGTGGAAGTGCTCTAGGCTCTCGAGGTGGTTTATAACTAGGCGTCAAGCAGGGACTTAAAGTAATGACAATAATGCAATTCGTAACTAATAATAGAGTATACTAAATAATTGATTTTGAACATAAAGCTTTATACAAAGGAAATTTATTATAATTATATTGTAACGATACTGTTGTCACACTCAAGAATACTGGGTAAAGTATCTTGTATTAGAAAATACTAAGCTAAGGAGAAAAGAAGAAGGAAAACAAGAGTAGAGAGTTTTCCTGTGATTAAATACAAACGGGGCATGCCACGTGACCCGGAGGTGTGAGGCGTCACAACTGTACTGGAGGCAGCGACTGCCTGAGGTTTCGTCTGGTTAATAGTCGTGGATTAAGGCTTTATCACTAATATTCACTTGGAAGTGAATTCGTTACTTCATCAAGTAGAATGTAGGTAAACTAATTGATAATTAAGTTGAGCACGAAGCTCCTTAACTACGAGACTAAATGAATGTTTATATACCCTATATCATCTTTTGAGGACCTCTAGGACCCTAAGGTCCAAAAGGTCCTCGAGGTCACGTGAATTAATGAATCGTGACATATATAGACCTTTATACTATACATCTCATCACTTCCCATTATATCCCATTATTTATAGTTGAGTGATTCTAGGTGGGACAATATTGGGTCATGTGACCATAAGCTTAGTCACCTGAGTAGCTGTTACGATTGGTCGTAACACACCTCACCCCATAAAAGAAAAATCCATCGAAACTCGAAAATCTGGAGGAGAGAAAAAGCTTGAAGCAAATGTTGTTTGATGAATTGTGGATTGTCTGATCTGATCTTAGATTAGGACCTGGCAGACTCCGGATAGAGTGGAGAAAAGGAAATTCTTAATCTCTTATATTTGTTGATTGGGATAAGACGTGCGGACGAGGCAGATTCGTAGGTTTTTCGTTTGAGAAAGCCTGATATAAGATTACGATAGATGATCGATAATGTTGAGATTATTATAATATTGATCTTTATCGATGGTATGTATGATTAATTATAATTATAAACTTTGATGGTTTCCCGTTCTGCTTATTTGATTGATATCCGATATCCGCATGAATTAGGTTTTCGGGAAAGGGGTATTCCCGATGGCTGAAGGTCGCATGTGGCCCGTATGGATGGATCAACATCTTCAACCTTCTTTATTCCAGCTTCATTCCACCCCGTTGCTTTGGCAGCTGGGCAGCTCAAGCTGATTTGCATCATCTTTGAAGATCATTCTCCATCGTTGCGTGATAAAAGAAGCTTACTCCGAAGTCACTCATACGTTAGTCAATTTAATTATTGTCCTCGTCATTTTTCGAAACTGTGTTAGGTCGATTTGTACTCTGTTGATCAATGCATTGATTTTCAACGCCCTGCTCAAAGATAAAAATAGAAATGACTAAGAAGATTTTCATCAACCTCACAACTTCCAGCCAACTAATTTTTAACATCCTCGTTCTCTCACCAGCCTCAAACTTCATGGAAACCGTCTGACTACCGATATATACAAGCATTACCCGGTGTGCCATCCTTTAAAATCGTAAAACCTGGGCTTTTATATCGTTTCATGCCGATCTAGAAGAAGTATTGATTGGAAGTTCTCCTATCTAGCTCTTACTCCGTACTCAAATACGGTTAAGGTCCACTTTTCCAAGACTCGTAATGTTGCTGGCTTACGACAATTTCGAGAGAATTGAAAGAGGCAACGGGGCGCAGTAATACGTAAAGTCTTTCGTGGTTTTCGTATATGGCTAATCTATTAACTTTGATCAAAAGTTCTCCATACTTTTGAAGCCTCTTCCTTTACGAGATTTTCTTTAATTTTTGGCATTTAATTTTTCTTCACATACTTGTTGTTGTCCACATGTGTTGTTTTCATTTCATTTTTTGAAAAGCAACACGCTTCATAGCCTTGACACTCTTTCGAACGAAGGATTCTTATCTACTTATCGCGATATCAACCCCTTTAATCCGTCAAATATGCGATCCTTCCTTACTGCTGCAACAGCACTTCTTTCTTTGGCTAGCTCTTCGCAGGCCATTCCTCAAAATAATGGTGGATATGATGGAGGGTATGGTGGTTATGGAAGTCAACAATCATCATCGTCGTCATCATCGATAGCTGCTGCTACACCATTAGTAGCATCGTCAACCGGTTCTGTATCCGTCACTGAAGAAGCAACATCAACGGGCACAGTCGTCTGTAATAACTCTCCAGAACTATGCAATCGAAACTATAACAACATAACGCACATGGGAGCCCACGATTCGGCATTCCTTAGAGACCAAACAACGGGGTTTTCAACATCCGGAAATCAATTTTATAACGTCACAGTTGCTTTGTCAGCAGGTATTCGATTACTTCAAGCACAGGTTCATAACTCGAACGGAACATTAGAGCTATGCCACACATCTTGTCTACTTCTTGATGGAGGTAGTCTTGAGGCCTTCCTTGCCGAAATCAAAACCTGGATGGATGCCAATACTAATGAAGTTGTCACTCTCATTCTCGTCAATTCCGACGATGAATCAGTCGCCACCTTTGGATCCGCCTTCTCATCCTCTGGTATCGATACCTATGGCTATACACCTACTTCTACCACCTCACCTATCGCTACTTGGCCGACTCTTCAAACTCTCATCACCGCAAACACCAGATTGATTACTTTCATCGCAAGCATTGATTATGATTCTAATTATCCATACCTCCTTCCAGAATTCACATATGTCTTCGAAACCTACTTTGGAGTTCTCTCTCTGGATGCATTTAACTGTACCTTGCAACGTCCCACCTCGATCGATTCCGCTTCAGCCGCCGTTTCATCCAGTTACATGGGTCTCATAAATCATTTCGCCGACACAGCCCAGTCATTTGGTATCACAATTCCAGATGTAGGGAACATCACTACAACAAACTCAGCATCTACAAATACGACAGGAGCATTGGGAACTCAGGCGGAGCAATGTAAGAGTGAGTGGGGCATTAAACCAACTTTCATATTGGTAGATTTTTTCAATGTGGGGCCCAGTATCGACACAGCGGATATCATGAACGGAATTTATGGAGAAACGACAGGAAGGACGGATGTTAGTGCGAGTGTTTTGACCGCTAGTAGTGATTCCAGTAGCGGTGCTAGCTCGCTGGTTTTTGGCTTGTGGAGGAATTGGGAATGCATGTGGATTATGATTGGAATAGTTGCAGTGGGAAACTGGGTCTGGTTATGAGTGACGTGAAAGGGACGCCCTTACCTTCTTCGTTGGGGGATTTTCTTCTATTTATGGAACTATGATTGAAGATTTGGTTTTACATTTACATAGCGATGGCGTTCTGGAAATTTGGATCTGGGGAGGCAAAATGGCATTCGCATAAGCGTAGGGAACTTTCAGCAAAGAGATTACCTATGCATGACGAAATATAGAACGAGATGATATTGGATTTTGGAAGAGATACGTCTAGATATCGCTCAATTGGAGTAGAAGCTCTTAAGTCGTACATTTATGTACGCGCAATACTCGGGCAAGAATTACATTTATCTTAAACAATTATGACATTTATGTACAGTGAAGCATCTGCTCCTTTTATACTAGCTTTTACTTTAACATCTCTTGAAAACATTTGTATATTAAATATTCAGTCCATTGTTTGTCTCCTTTCGGATTTTCTGAATGACAACTCGTTTTGCATAACGTGGAAAATTTGACCAATCACCGATCTCAAATTTACCCACTTAGAGATGGTGATAATCTGACGAACCTCACTTCATGTATGCCCTACAATTAACATGACAGACAAAACATTCAAAATACATTGACTTTTACAATTCATCAATCAAAATGATTAAACAGCAACTGCAACTACTAGACAGATCGCAATATACTCCCTTATTCGGATGATGAAACAGTAGCGATAGCAAATCTGTCGTTTGACATCTTGCTCACAGGTATGCTTATGACTAGATATCACTCAATCGAAGCTAAGAGACCCTTCTCTTCTCTACTCTATGTCACGAATCGTCCTCAGATATTCTCCGTAATATACGAGCCATCATATCTAAGAGTCAAGGCTTTAGTGTACTCATTGAATAGCTATCACAAGCAATCAATGAGTCATTTCCCTGTGTCGACATAACTAGTAGTAGGTAAGTAAGATCAAGTGCGATCGCATAGTTAAGTATTCATTTCTTGCCACTTGCTCGACATTCTCTTTTCCATTCCAAACATCCCTCAGACGATGCAATCATGACCACACAACCCAAAAAACCCTCTCCCAAATTCTCAAAAGTCGATCTCATACCCTGGGATCCAGACTCTCCATCCCATGTCGAGAGACTATTTAATCAACGAGTTGCCTGCACATGGAATTCAGAATATGTAGAATCATGGCGGGAAAAACAGAGACAGGGCACTATTACTCTCCAATGGATTGTACGTTTATCACATTCCCTATTCCATTATCTTTCGAACACATCTAAAATTACCATAATAGGTCCTACCAATTAGTTGCCCCACTCGCGATGAGCTTCATAACCTTCACATAATGCACTGTCCGCTAGAATCAGAGCTTTTAGTTGATTCAGCTACGACTTTTAATGCACTGCCTCGTACTCGTCCCTCTCCACCTCACTCTTTCCTACCTATTGGTCACATAGCCCTCGAGGTGCAATCATTCTCCCCGCCGTCTTCCCCCACTACCACCACTCCACTCTACTCCACCTACAAAATCTCCGGCCTCTACATATCCAGCCCCCTGCGCGGTTACGGCCTAGGCCGCACAGCCATGGATACAGTTGAAACACTCGCATGTTCTCCCCCTATTTCCGCTCAAAAACTCATTCTAGAAGTTATAGCCAATGAGTATCCCGGAAAAGAGGAACGGAGAATAGCGTTGAAGGTTGAGGAGCTGCTCGTTGAGCAAGAGGATTGGTACGTTAGGAGGGGATATAAGATTGTAGGGTTTAGAGATGGGATGTGGCCTGAGAGGGATGAGATGGGAAGGGTTTGGACTGCGAGGTGTTTGTTTATGGAGAAGATTATTTAGTTCCGGGGGCGGGGATGAGAAAAGTTGGGAAGGAGAGGAGCTTTGGGTTGGGGTATGGTGTATGTCTTATAGAGGTTAGATAACTCGTGGATGCGTTGGATTTGCTGGGAGAGATGAATATAAAATCGCAGATTTTGGAAAGCATATAGATCAATAGGTAAATAGATAAAAGATCCTATATATATCCACAACATATTATACAAGATTGCAAAACTTCAACTTCTCTTTCCCGGCATAATTACTCTATCTGCTAAATAATCATAACACAAAGAACAACATAAGATTAGACTTTTATTGTACTCCTGGTGGTGGTAGTAAGAATTAGGGGAATAGATGATTGGATTTCTATATTTCGTTAAGACTTACTTTGTGGGGGAATCTGGATTATGAAGTGGTGGTAGGTTCATGTCATGTCATGTTGTGCGGAGTGTGGCAGTGTATAGTACTTAGTAGTTCCATCAGGTACCTAGATATCATCAGAGCTAAAAATAGAGATAAATCGCTCCGGCTGTACTTAAATCCGATAGAATATCACAAATCCGCTTCAATCTTCTTGTTTTTTTCTCGATATTTCTTACTTATGATCATGATCACTGAATCCTTTTGCGAATGCATTTCGTTTCCGTTTTTTGGTTCAGACTATTTATTCATTTATCTTTGCATTTACGAATACATGCTTTGGTAAATGAGGGATCAGTCAGAATATTTTCTATGATACCTCTATTTCGTAGATATACATCATTATCAGTTCCAGATTTCCGCGGAATATATGCCATTTCTGGACAAATTAAAGCGTTCTTTTTCGATCGTTTTTATAATCATTGTTGACTAGCCTCGATATCACAAATCCGTTATCGTAGGGAAAAGAAAATATATCGAGTGCACAAATTAATTTCTATTTTCCTCTCCAAACTATTGATTATTAGATGTAATCATTATATGTCACTTCAACTACAGCCTCAAAGTAGCTCTTTTGGGGAAGTAGTAAGCATACCAGGTAAATTTTATCATCTATTATAGGTAAGCCTTACAGATTGTCTCTTTACTCCGTACAAATTTCTGCATACATTTTAGCCTATACTTTATAATGGTTCTTCAACTTTTTAACATATATACCAAGTCTGACGTGCATAAATTGCTGCGCCTATCACATTTCTAGTATTTTTCATCAGTTATCCCACTCTATCTACTCTATTATTGGGATAAAGCTTATACTTGTGCGCCAAACCATAGCGAAGCGCTTAACCGATCTTCATGGAGGGGTTACTTTTAAGGAGCTGGTGGGATGATATCTAAAGAGGCTCAGCCAGTTTTGGAACTATGTTTGATGTTTTCCTCTCTGTTGTATTGTTTCCTACAAGTAATGTTCACCTTACTTCTATCTTTCTTGTATGTATTTTCCAATTCTAATCTTGTTTATCTACCATTCGGCTCTTTCGATTCGGAATTTCGTTGAGAGATATCATGGTTTATTTCCAGTCCCCGGTTTCAAATCGGTCATATTCTACCCTTGGTTGTGGTAGGAGGGATTCTCCAACGTTTATTGATGATTCCTTTACTCCCATATCTGGAATTGGAATCGCCATTCCATATCCAACTTTCCAAAGAACATTTTTCTTAGATCCTACACCTCCACAAAGTCCGGTGGGACCAAAATTCAAATGTCCCTCATTTGCTCCTTCATCAACAACACAAGGACAATACAATCTCATAACATTCGATCAGCTTCCAAAATGGAGTCAAGATAATCCTCATATCCAATCCGGATATCGACCAATTTCCCATTCTACTTCCACCTGTCTTCATTCCTGTTTTCAAATTCATAATGAAACTTTCAACATTTGGTCTCATTTCATTCCATGTATTTTCTTCATTGTCCTTGAAGGTACAATGATATATTATCTCAATACTCGATATCCCAATGCTACAACCAAAGATCATATCATTTTCACATTTTTCATTTCCTGCGCAACCATATGTTTGGGCATCTCAACAATTTTCCACTCCGTCATATCTCATTCTCGAAAAACTCGAGATCTCTGGTTAAAACTCAATTATGCGGGGATAATTTTCCTCATCAATGGATGTTTCATTTCAGCTGTATATATGTCTTTTTTCTGTCATCAAACTTTACAATATGCTTACTGGGCAATGGTAAGTCATTATCAATCTTTCTCTTCTAATAATCTATTCTTTACTCAATAAGTCTTAGATATTATCAATGTCAAGTACGGCATTAGTTTTTCTCCTTCTACCAGCTTTCCAAGGTCATCAATGGCGTTCTTTTCGTACAACGGCTTTTTGCGCAACAGGTCTTTCGATTCTCATTCCTTTCATTCATGCAATTGTACAATTTGGATGGAAGAAAGCGATCAATCAATCGGGTATGCCATATTATTTTGCGGAAGCTTTATTGCTGTTGATTGGAGTTATTTGTTTTGCTGTATGTTCATCTCTTCTCTTCTCTCAATCCAATCAATATCCCAGGTTCCGAAAAAATGAAAACTAATCTAAAGTGAAATAAATAGAAACGATTCCCCGAATCGTACATACCAGGCCATTTTGATCTCTTAGGTAATTCACATCAGATATTTCATCTCTTGGTTGTTTTTGCGCTGGTATTGCATTTGGTGGGTCTTTTGAGGGCGTTTGATTATAATTATAAGAGGGGGGATTGTAGGGGTTTTGGGTTGTAAGTTTTGGTGTATGATGAGGTGGTAAGATGGTAAGATGGTATGGTTTTGTATGGAACTAATGCTTTATTAAGGGTGATAGATAGATGGTGGTGGTGTACTTTGTATATATTAGGTGCTAGGTGGTTTGGGTTGGCATTGTGTTTTTGGGTTTATGAGGATGTGGGATAATGGGATAATATTAATGATCGGTTTATGAGGGAGGAGGGTATGGATATTGGATATTGGGTTCCGGATTTGGAACTGGGAATGGGAATGGGAATGGGAATGGGAATGGGAATGGGAATGGGAATGGGAATGGGAATGGGAATGGGAATAGGAATAAGGAGGAAAGAAATTAATAGGATACGGGATACTGGGCAGCTAGCTATAGGTTGAGAGTGAATTGGTGTTTGGATTTATATAATCATATACATGTATATATATTGATCTAAGAGGGAAGAGCGAGGATATACCTATATCTATAAAAGAGGTTTGATTATAATATGAGTTAGTAACGAGAATTATATATAATTATCAGATCTTATTTTATTTAAGAGCTTAACCCAAGCTTAAAAGTATAAGGTGATCACTGATTATAGAAATATAAATATAATAAGATTATTTAAAATTTTAAATATTTTCTACTTGTCTGATATAAGATCTTCCAAACCAACAGAAGCATATTCCCCGCAGGGTATGAGATTAACAGTGAGTTTACTTTCCAACCACGGATCTAATTACCGGCAACTGTATCATAGAATCATTCTACCGATATGGATTTCCCTTCCTTCCTTCCGTCCTTCCGTACTTCCGTATGTAAAAGCGGTAGTCGTTCCGTAATAAGGCTACATGCGGAGTCACAAACTTACATACCGTCCCAGTAATGAACATATTTTGGCAAAATCAAATGTGTAAACGGTATTCCGTAAGTCATGCCACGTTTTCATCATGTGCTGGGTTTACTGGGTTGGATTTATGTTGTGTTAGGTTGTATTGTGTTGTACTTTTCTGTGTGGTGTTTTGAGATGGTTGCGTTTGGCATATAGGATCTATGTATCGATTCTATGGAACGATATACGGAGATCTCCTGAGTGAAATGTGAGATTCGGAGAGTTGTGGTACTTATTATGTGCTTGTTTAACTGTTTGGTAATATCGGGATACATACGGAGTACATATATGTATGTATGATAATATCGGAACATATACGGAGTCCATACATTTATGTATGATATATGGACAAACTAGATGTGGAGAACTTCGTATTCATGTGTTTTAGACGTTCGAGAACCGTTCTAGAAAATAAGATTTATATTGATAAGGTTACTATACATTTCACAATGTAATTTCATATACGTACTTAGGTATCCATACATACATACATGAAGAGTGATTCAGAGAGGGGTAAGTGGCGGTAGCTAAGGTACAGATACGGGTACAGTGGCACCAGCAAGGACCAAAACGCCCTACGTACGCCCTACGTACGCCCTAGGCCTTAAAATATCACGAACCAATCTCTTCACCAACCATCCAAACCAAAGATTTGGTACAAAAACTCCCATGATCAATTAATCATCACGAAGGCGTATATACATATCACCATCCATACCAAACTTCAAGTCATCCCCATCCTCCCACTAGTAAATTACGTAATTATTCTCGTCTTGTCTCCGATTCCAAATTCATATTCTGTCCTGTGTAGCTTTATAGCCAAGAACTACTCGTAATGTTAAGTTACATCTTATTACATCTCATTACACAAATATATCCGACGGAGTAACTCTCAACCCCGGATTTTGATATTATCATGCCATGCCGTGCTTTTTTCTTTTCATCAGGGGATATCTTATCCATCTAGCGATACACGTGTCAATTCATCTACACTACACCATACACACTCCCCTTCCTATACGCCCAATGTGCAGCTGAAGAAAGTAAAGAATCCTCTAATCTAATTTCTTTAGCTCCGGACCCTGAAATTCCTTGCTCATTCACTCAAAATGCCGATATCACTCAATACAACAATATAGCACAACACATCACACATCTTATCCAAATACTTCAAGACACATACATACATACATACATAAATACATACGCCATTAGCTAAGAAATAAGAACAACAGCTATTCACCGAGGAAATTCTAGCCAATTCTTTCCTTTCGGGCAGGATTTGCCTCCATGTATGTATACTGTACTTTTGGGATGGAAAGATCGCCGTTGTGCGACGAACTACAAATTATTGGAGGGCTTGCCTGCATTATGACATATGTATATATACTTAGGTGTATGTTGTACAGAGTACTGAACTCGATATATTTTGAATGAGATGGTATGATTTGAATGGAAGGAAGGAAGGAAGGAAGATCTTTGTAATCTTTGTGATAGGTGGTATTATATTATATATATCTATGTACCTGCCTAGTGGTGTTATTTTTATTTTTCTTTTTGAATATCTTATTATACCTAGGTATATATTGAATCATTTTGCAAAATTGGAGATTAAGGTTCATTATTAATTGAATCCGATTTTCTTCTAGTTACTCATCCTATTGGTCTTGATATCGGATATTCTAGTATATATTCATTCATATGCACATACATATTCAAGGAAACAAGCCCGAATACTCCAATACACCATGGCAAAATCCTCATCTCCATATCCCTCTCCACCCTCGTCGACATCTAAAACAAAGTCCCACCCACACCACCCACCCTCATCCTCATACTCAAGGTACTTCCCCCCCCCCCCCCTCCCTCTTCCTCCCCCACCCCCAACACAAACCTAACTAACACCCCTCCCCCTCCTCCCTCCTCAGCACCCACAAAATCCTCACGACACTCCTCTTCCCCACAACACAAAAACATCATACGATTGGACGGGGTACACCAGGTCAAGGTATTACACCTTGGATGAATAGTGGGAGATTTACGGATTTTGGGGGGGAGAAGGGGGAAATTGGATCAGGTGGATCCGGAGAGTTTGACGAGTTTTTGTTGAGTGGGAGGGGGTTTGTGGGTGGGTTGCGTGAGAGTTGTGTGAGGGTTGAGGGATGGGGAGGAGAAGGGAGGGAGTGGGAATGGGAGTAAGATCTGGACAGCTTTAGGATTTGAATTGGGAGCTTGTTGGTTAGGGTGGGAGTTGGAGTTAAAGGGGTATAGTTGGGGGTGTAGGATGGGCAGGAGATAGTAGGGGGAATTCGAAGTAAAGGAAAAGAGGGAAAAGACCCTAGGAAGAAAGTATATGTAACGATATCGATTCAGTAAAGGAAGGGATTTAGAAGTGAATCAAAAATCTCATTTAAAGAAAAATAAAAATAATTGAATCCGGAAATATCATTATAGTTTTATAAATTCTAAAATAAAACTTTTTTACATTCTCATCTCATCTGTTTTTTATTACTATTTCTTTTTTTATATTTTAAAAAGTTTCCAGAGACATAATACTTTAAATTTTAAGTTTTAATTTTTAGATAATAAATAAATAAATATTTTTTGTTTTGCAAAATTGAGGATGCAGATAAATGAATCAAAGATGTGAAATAGATAAAAGTTTAATATAACTATCCGTGTGTTCTAAAATGGATTTATAGTTTCAGTAAAAGTTATAAGATTAGATTTTCGGTACAAAAGGGTGGAATATTTGATAGTGAATTAGTCAATCAATCAATTGGAATCCTAACTAACTAACCAACTAAAATCGAATCAATACCCATTCATCCAGTTAAAACCCTCACCTCCAACCCCCAACCCCTACAAAAGTGCATCATCCCCCCTATCCCCATGAATCTTCGCCTTCAACATCTCACTCTGTCCCGCTACCTCCTCACTCCCAACCGTAGCCAAATATCTCTTAAAATTATCACTCATCTCGACCACCTTCTCAAAATGATCCTGTCTCAACTCCACCTCCAATTTCCCCTCCCCATCCTTCCCCTCCGCATCCTTCCCACCCTTCCCCCTCTTACTCTCCGCCTCATACTCCGCCAACGCCACAGCCGTCTGAAATGCATTCCGAATCTCCCTCCCATTCCACTCAATATCCTCCAACACATCATCAGAAAGAATATACCGTTTCGCCGCACTCTTAATCGTAATTTCATCCGCACGTTCCCGTTCCAACTTCTGGAAAAATTGCAACCAGATTCTTTTCCTACCTTCGCTATCAAGAGGTCGATATCCAATATACACATGAATACGACTAAAGAACGCGGGATCAAAATGTCCCACCCGATTCGTCGTCAGGAATAATATTCCCCGGTAATATTCCATGGCGCGGAGAAAGACGGATACGAGTCCATTGCGTGTTAGTTCGGAAACTTCTCGTCGCTCGAGATATACATCCGCTTCGTCGATTAACATTACGGCGCCCCAGATCTCGGCGAGTTTGAACCATTTACTGAGGGATTCTTCGACGCGGAATTCGTCGGTGCCGATGTCCCCGCAGGTGAGGGATAGCAGCGGGCGTGATGTGAATTCCGCGACGCATTCTGCCGTGTAGGTTTTTCCTGCACCGGGGGGACCGTGCAATAGGAAGATTTGTCCTTCGCCTTTGTTGGGGATAGGATCTGCCGACCAGGTCATCTCGCTCTTGCCGGCTTTTTTGGATGATGTATATTTATGTACGAGTGCTTTGATCATTTCCTGTTTTTCGTTTGGGAGGACTAGATTCTCGATGGCGGAAGTGTAGAATTTAGGTGGTTGACAGCAATCGACATCCAGAGCTTGCCATTTCTTAGACTTGAGATCGAAACCCATGATGCGACGAGGACAGAGGAAGTACTTGTGACGAGAAACATTTCCATTTGCGTCGGTTACGGCAAGGGAAGGAGTTTCCCGAGGTTCAATGTTCTCATATTTACCCCAGCGTGTATTGGCAGATGCAGCAAGACGCTTGGAGGTACAATCTGAACAGCTGCAATTATAGTGCAAGTCTGCCAAGATACCCGAATCATCATCATCGATACCGAGAACAGGAGCTGGATGTTTCTGTGTTTCCTGCCAGTCGGCGTATGTGTAAAATGCGCTCTGATCAACTACCACACGACCTTCGTGGAATCGTTTCGGCTTTTGCTCAACCGGCATGCTGAATCCTCTGTAATCCATTTGTTTTCCCATCAACATACTGTAGAATTTCTCACCACGATCTTCAAGTTGTGTTCGTGGAGAGAGGATGGGATTTCTATCAATGTAATGGGCAGGAACGACTTTCAACGACGTAATCTCGCGCTCGCCTTCAAAAGGTGCAATAGTCACTTCGTGAGATCGGCGTCCCACGAACCGGCCATCGAAATCCAGATACCACATTTTGATCTTGAGAGGAGATGGCTGACCAGGTCTAGTATTCTCAGTCGAATTTTCACAACCCTGAAGAACGAAACCAGCGCGTTGTTCGTCAAATTGCGCGTAAACATCCATTCCAGGCTTGAAAAGCATCCATAACATCTCGAATGTTACGACGGGATTTGCTCTCGCATGTCTGTCATCCTCCAACTTTAACTTCTCTTCAAAGTTATCCTCGAGATACTTTTGAAGAACACTGATATGGTGAGCAGCTTCTGCATCATCACATTTCTCTTTGTATTCTTGAAGTTCCTTTCGGTAGTGAACAAGAATACCATAAGGTTCCTTGATCGAAATGGTGTCTCCGAGTAAAGATTGACCGGGGTAATATTCGACCAGAGATCTCAAGGCCTTCATGATATGTGGAGAATGAATGATAAGTTCTTTCTCTTCCATAGATCGTTCATCAAAGTCATTCTCATCTTTCATCTCTGACGATATCACATTTTCATCTTCCTTCTCCTTCTTTCCTTTCTTCTTGCCATAGATAGTAGGGAACCAAATAGTGACACTATATAGGACTTCTAGGATAGGTATTTCCGAATCACGATATCTTGAAGATGTTAGTATTTGGTTAGGAAAAGAGTGATGGTGATCAACTTACGTGGTCTTCTTCAATTTATATGGTGCTGCCAACTCTTTGGTTCCTTTGATTTCACCACCTACATCCTTATATTGGACTTTGTATAGAATTTCTGGACATTTGATATCTTCATCCTTGCCGGCATCATTAGATGCTTGTGTGGGAGTGGTGACATCTTTTTCAGCTTTGACGACGACATATTGTTCGCCGTCTTTACTCGCGGTCTCGTTGGCATGCATGATTGAGGATGTGGTGAAGAAAGAAGAAGTGATGATTTTGGTAAGAGGAAGAAGAGGATGAAGGAGGGAAAAAAGGATAAGAAAAGGTATGAAGATTTAGAACAAACGAGTACCAGAAAGAGGAATATAAATATTCCAACATAGACGACTCAAGAAACGAAGATATAGAAACTTTGCGGAATTTTAATCACATTTGTGGAGTACAACTGGCAATAGCATAGGCAGCACTCGCCGCAGCAGTCAGCCCGCAGATCAACACGACACGAAACCTCTCCCATTCGTTAGAGATAGCAATACATAGCCAATATATTCTAACAATCCTATCCAGCATGGAATCCTTTGACTCACCGTGTTGTAGATGCATACTCTAGAGTCTGGGCAGAAGATGAAGATTTGGATTATCAGGATGATATTGAGGTACTTTGTGGAGGGCCTCTGTATATGCAATTAGTAGCCCTAGATACTTGTTGTGATGTTTTGATTGGTTGAAACTTGTTTGGCGAGATGGATTGGTGGATATGTAGCTGGGATCCCCGCCATATTTCTCCCAGCTGAATATTTACGTGGGGTACATACTATGATACCAAGCACTTGTACAGAGTAAGGTTATGTGGCTCCAAATCCTTCATGATGAATGAGTACATCGGGTCAGTGGTAGGTAGAATTACGAGGAGAAACAGCGGCTGTTAAACCTTGGGTAATGTACTAGGTATGTGTATCAGTATGAACCAAAGAAAGAAACATCCATCACCTTTCAACTGCAACAAGTGAATGAAATGATACTCGTATATATAAACTCTTTCTTAGGAACACCTACTCGAGTAATTATAATCACATCAAACAATTCATCCATCATCCGAAAAGCCATTCAATTCTTCCTTATCCTTTCATTTTTATCATTTTCATTCTTTGAAGATAACTCAATAGACAATAAACACACCTCTCTCTCCCTCTCTCTTATAAATGCCTACCTACCTACCTACCTACCTACCTACCTGCCTACCTACCCACTCTGCTACTCTGTTCTTACTATATCAACAACAAAACGAAACAAAT